CTGAAGTTTGTCATCAGATTGTCGCTGTGGGCCTGACATGGGGTTCTGTCAGCTTACCCCTGTGGCGCATGTGACCCTTGGAGGTTGACTAGGTGGGAGGGTGGGTGTCAGCCCGGAATGTGCTGGCAGGTAGGCCCTGCCGAGGCCACAGGACAGTTCTCCCCTCCCCGTGTGGGGCCCCCGAGCCCTGAGTGCTGGCCCGTGACCCACCGTGCCGGCTGTAGACCACTACGTGTCACTGCAAAAACAAAGAGAAAAGCTGAACTCTTCCTTAGGATGAAAACATAATGAAGCCTTTTATGTCCCGCATGGGTGGAGGCCCTAGAGGTCCGCCGCAGTTGGGCTGGTGGCCTCAATGTTCCTGCCAGGTACGTCCTGACAGGCCAAGATTTGTGCAGAAAGAGAAATAAAAAACAGACCCCAGCAATAGGACGCTGCCGCCAGGAGGTCAGGCCCGGATGTCCCCCCCCCGCCCCCCCCCACATTTGACAATGAGGAAACCAGGGCTCAGCAGGCCTCACATCGGGGAAGGTGCTGGTGCTTCTGGGGTCCCAGATAGTTCAGGGTGCAGGTAGGACCTTCAGGAAGGCAGTGCAGCTGGGAGGATCTCCTCCGGTTGTGGCCTGGTCTCTGTGGGAAGTCGCAGTCTGAGGTCCTCTTCAGCAGCAGGCCTGGCCCGCCCAGCGCGAGGGGAGCTGGGGCCAGGCTGTAGCCTCCTCTGCCTTCTGCCTCATACACAGATGGCTTGGGACACCACTGAGGTGGCCCTTGGAGGAACGCAGGATCCCCCCCCTCAGGGTGGTTTGTGGACAGAGGGTGTTGGGAGAGGCCCCAGGCCAGAGAGGGGAGGGAGGGCAGGGAAGATGGGGACTCTGAGTGACATGGGGTGGCCCCTTCCTCTTGGGGGCAGGGGCACAGGGCTCATGTCATACCCACCTGGGAGCAGGTGGCTCTGTCCCCGCTCTGCTCACCAATTCACATGCACAGCCGGCGCTTGCTTACCGTGTCGTTTTGCATGACGGCCTGTGGAATGAATGCAGTGGTATCACATAAGGCAAAGGTGTGTGACTCCATGGGTCCCACCTGCATGGCTGCTGCTGGGGAAAATCCCTCCCCCCCGTAGGCTCTCAGTTTTGGCCAGAAGGGCCTCGGCCTGGGGGGGTGGGGTGGGGGCAGCTTGGCCCACGGACAACCTTCTGAGTGCCTGGGGACCCCAGATGGGAAGTGATAAAGCATGTGTTCCCCTGGGGGGTCCCTGCTGTGGGGGTGAGTCCTGCCCACAGCCCTGGCCTCCCCCACCTTCCTGCCCCAGTGCTCCTTTCTTCCACCTTCTTCCTCACGTGGGTCCTTTCCTTGCTACTTTCCAGGGTTGTGGTGAGAACGCTTGTAGTGAAAATAATCACTGTTCACATTTTGTATCTGTCATTCATCTTCTTTTTCTCTTCATACACAGATGTCTTCTATACTTTTACACATATTTTACAGAAAACTTGTTACATAGTCTATAAGCTCTGTTGCCACTCAACGGTGTAGTAATACCTTTCCATGTCAGTGGATGGTATAGACACATACATCTTTTTAGTTGCTATTAAAGTGAATTAAGAAAAACACCCACACAGGTTAAAACACTTTAATGAACAGTCACATTTCTAGAGACAGAAAGTAGAAGGGTGGGTGCCAGGGGATATGGGGGAAGGGATGGGAAGTTGGTTTTTAATGGGGACAGAGTTCAGTTTGGGAAAGCGAAAGGTTCTGGCGGGGGATGGTGGGGATGGTTGTACAACAGGGTGCTTGGACGTAATGCCGCTGGACCACGCACTTAAAAATGGTGTAGGCAGGGGCGCCTGCGTGGCTCAGTTGGTTAAGCGACTGCCTTCGGCTCAGGTCATGATCCTGGAGTCCCGGGATCGAGTCCCGCATCGGGCTCCCTGCTCGGCGGGGAGTCTGCTTCTCCCTCTGACCCTCCCCCCTCTCATGTGCTCTCTCTCTCTCATTCTTTCTCTCAAATAAATAAATAAAATCTTTAAAAAAAAATGGTGTAGGCAGTAAATTTTATGTCATTATAATTTACCACAATAAAAAATATATATAATAAAAAATTTAAACAGTGTGAATGATGCAGAGTTGTGTTAAATGAAAACTGAAAGAGTCCCATCCTACCCTCCTTACACTCAATATGTGGGCTGTTGAAGAGTTAACCAATATTTTATTTTACTTTTAAAGATTTTATTTATTTATTTATTTGACAAGAGAGACACAGTGAGAGAGGGAACACAAGCAGGGGGAGTGGGAGAGGGAGAAGCAGGCTTCCCGCTGAGCAGGGAGCCCAATGTGGGGCTCGATCCCAGGACCCTGGGATTATGACCTGAGCCGAAGGCAGACGCCCAACGACTGAGCCACCCAGGCGCACCGAGATAACCAATATTTTAAAAACATCATAGCAACAACCATGAAGTTCCCATGTTGGAGCTGAGCAGGTCGTACACACTGTGTCCCTTAGTCCTTGCAAAAGGGATGTGAGGTCAACAGAGTTGGGAGGTGGTGGGACTGGTTTCCATCCCAGAGCCTGAACTCTAAATAGCTCAGCTCTGCTACTTCTTTTTTTAAGATGTTATTTTTAGGGGCACCTGGGGGGCTCAGTCGGTTGGGTGTCTGCCTTTGGCTCAGGTCATGATCCTGAAGTCCCGGGATTGAGCCCCACATCAGGCTCCCTGCTCAGTGGGGAGTCTGCTTCTCCCTCTGCCCCTCCCCCCACCCCACTTGTGAGCTTGCTCTCTTTCTCTCAAATAAATAAATACAATCTTAAAAAAATATATATATATTTTTTTTAAGGAAGCTATATACCCAACTTGGGGCTCAAACTCACCGACCCCAAGATCAAGAGGCACACACTCCACCAACTGAGCCAGCTGGGCGGCACTGCTACTTCTTTCATAAGATAATTTTATTTAAGGGATAATAAGAGGCGCCTGGGTGGCTCAGTGCGTTAAGAGATAATAATAACAGGTCATTGTCAGGAAAGGAGAAAGTCACCCATCATCCACCACTCAGCCTCCTTACTACATTTTTGCATTCCCTGTAGCCTTTCTTCCCATGTTCCCACCCTTTTCTCCTGCTTTGTGCAGGTAGCCCCGGGGTTGTGCCATCTGCAGAGGGGACTGGGGGGCTGGGGAGGGGAGCACAACAGTGGTGTCCCAGTACTTCTGCTGAGCCAATCCACCGGGGGCCGCGAAACCAGCCCTGGGTTTGAATCTTATCAGTTTGACTGGAGACAAATCATTTCGCCTATCTGAACCTCAATCTGCTTAAAAATAAAATGCAGACAGTTCTGTCAGCCGCCACAGATTGTCGTGAAAATCAGTCTGTGTGGTTCCACACAACCGTAGTGCCGTGCATTCTTAGGCATTATTGTTCCAGTCGCAAAGCTTGGGTTTGAAAAGCTTGGCCCCTTGGTAACAGTCAGTTTTGTTTAGACAGAGACACGGTTGATCTGCCGGAGGAATTGCTACCTCAGGGAGACTCAAAGGTTGGAGACGTTTTGTCCTAGCCCCACCTGATGCATGTGTGAGCAAGTCAGAGGCTTTCCCTGGGAATTCCAGTGCCCCTGTTTTTGTGGTTCTCAAATATGGGTTCGCCCCAGACCACCAGAGGGTGAAGGGCCTTGAACTCAGGACTGTGGACTTTGGGTTGGGTCTGGACAGTAATGGGGAGATACAACGATTTGGGAGAAGAGTGTGTACTTCATCCGGGCAGTGGGAGGTCGTAAAGGCTTTAAACAGGGAAGTGAAGAGACAAGACTTGTATTTTAGCAAGATGTGGCCTGGGGAGGGGTCTGGAGGCTGTCCCAGCTGGAGGCGGCCGCCGGCCAGGGGGAGACAAGGCGAGGACAGCGGCGGAGGCGGCGAGAGGAAGCTGCATCACAGACTGTATGCGGCCTCTGTGAAGCTGGTCGGGAGCTGGTGTAGATACGCCCTCACAGCACCTTTGGGGTTTCCCACCTTGGTGCAAAGGGGAAGGGATTCCTCTCAAGAACCCGGGAACCCCCACCCAGGCTTCTTCGGCCAGCCCTGCCTGCCCAGGCGGTGTGATCTTTGGCCAGCCACTTAACCTGCTCAGGCCTCAGTTTCCTCACTTCTAATGGGGACGAAATGCAAACCGCTTGTGAGGATTTGAAGGATGCCCACTGGGCGTGGCACACTTGACACTCAGTTGACATAGGGGCTGTTTGCAGGGTCCCCATCTGTAAGACGGGGAAGGATACACATGATTCGACTGCTTGTAGGACTGCCAGACTTTCATATTTAGGGGCTCTACTAGGGACTTGGTGGAGTGAATATCTTTAACTTCCTCCCATGTTCAGGGAAATGTAGAGTCTACAAAGCCCTTTTACGTCTATGTTCCCATTACCTTCTTCTTAACAGCCCTGGGAGGTAGGCACACAGATACTGTCATTATTACCCTCTCCATTTTATTTTATTTTATTTTTTAAAAGATTATTTATTTATTTATTTGAGATAGAGTGAGAGCAAGTGAGTCTGAGCGGGGGGCGGGGGGGGAGCACAGGGAGAGGGAGAAGCAGACTCCCTGCTCAGTGGGGAGCCTGATGTGGGGCTTGATCTCACAACCCTCGATCATGACCTGAGCCGAAGGCAGACGCTTAACCAACTGAGCTATGCAGGTTCCCCAACCCTCTCCAGTTTATAGTTGAGGAAACAGGCTCAGAGGAGACTGTCTTGTCTAAGGTCGCACCGCTGGTAGGATCCGAAGCCAGTTTTGTGTGACTCGGTGTCAGAGCTGGACCGATCACAGGAGACTGTTGTGTCCCCCCACTACATACATGGGGAGGCCGAGGCCAGGAGGGAAAGAACTCACCCGGCCACAGTGAATTCGAGGTGGACCCAGGAATAGAGCCCGGTCTCTGACTTGTAGACCCTGCCTCTTAATGGCTATCCTACTTCATTGAATAATAGTAACTTTCTTTCTTTCTGCCTTGTTTTCAGGGAAACCAGTTCCTGAAATCAAGTCTTCTTTCCTAGACTTCCCGGATGCTGCGAAGCCAGGAAGGCTGCTGGCAGCTTCTGTAAGAAATGCTGAAGATGAACAGGAAAAGGGGCTGTCCGTGAGGCCAGATGCCTTTCCAAGTCCAGGTATTTTAAATTAAATTTCATTTTTTAATTTAAAGGAAATGTTTTATCCATCAGGATATTCAGCTCAGTGTAGCAAAAAAATTGGAAACAACAAGGGGGATGGTAAAATTAATGACAGTCGGTCAGAAAAATACATACTGTTAAAAATGATGTAGATGTGTATACATACACCGAAACATGCTCACAATATATTGAATTAAAAAAGCAAAAAAAAAAAAAAAAATCAGATACCAACAGAATATATACCGCTTATTATCATTTTAAGAAAAAAGATAGCTCTGTAATTGAGGGCTCTTTCTGTGCTGGACACGCCAACTTACATAATCCTCAGTTAGCTGTACAAGTTAGGTATGGTGATTATCCCCACTTTACAGATATGGAAACTGAAGCGCGGAGAGGTTACACAGCCTGCTAAAGTCACACGCTCTGGGGCCCAGGTATTTTCCCTGTGGTTTCCCGAGCCCCGAGCACGGGCTGGTCCTCCTGCCGGCTCCGTCCTGGGAGCCTGATGACCTCTCCGTTCTGCATGGGCCCGTGGCCGGGCTGGGGCCTGACCCTCTCAGCTGTGTAGTGGGCCACTGTGGTCCTGCCTGCCCCCCTCCCTCTCCTCTTCCCGGCACACATCTGCTGCTTTCCTCTACGGCACCTGAGCTGCTGAAAGAAGTGATTTGCTCAAGGTCACGCAAGTAGGAAGTAGCATCTGAGCAATGTGGTTTAGATGCCTCCGTCCCTAACAGCGCACGCACTGCTCTCCCAGAGCCTTTTGACCACTTCAGATTTGTCTCCACCCCCTTGTGCCCAGGGAAGGGGTCAGGGACAGTTTGCCAAATGATGGAAGGACTCAGCCTGCGGATGGATGGCTTTCCTGGGGCGGTGTCGGGGGTGGGGTGGGGGATGGGGGAGGACACCACTGTTCACAGTATTCACACCCGCGTGTCCATTCTCATCGCCTCTCTCCAGGGGCCTGGCCTCCCTTCTACTCTCCTCTAGGCTCCCAAGTGGTGAGCTGAAGGTCCCACATCCAAGAAATCTCAGTTCATTGATGCTGTTCCTGAAGCCAGGGTCAGCTTTGGCCTAGAGGAGCGTGCCTGGGTTTTTGCATTAGACAAGCCTGTATTTGAATCCCACCTCCCAGTTTCTACAGGAGAATTACTTAGCTTCTCTGTACCTCGGTTTCTTCATCTAAAAAAGTGGGCACAGGGGCGCCTGCGTGGCTCAGTTGGTTGAGCGTCTGACTCTTGATTTCGGCTAGAGTCATGCTCTCAGGGTTGTGAAATCGAGTCCCACATCAGGCTCAGTGCTCAGTGCGGAGTCTGTTTGAGAGTGTCTCTCTCCCTCTGCCCCTCCCCCACTCACACGCATGGGTGCCTGCGCGCGCTCTCTCTCTAAATGAATAAATAAAATGTTAAAAAAAATAAAAAAGCAGGCACAGTAATGAAAGCCTATGTCAGCATGTTGTAGTAAGGAATCAAACACCTCAGTGTTGCTACCATTAGGTGCTCATCAAATGTTAGTTAATATTAGCAGTGTTCCGGACACCCCAGATAGGCTGAAGCTGGGGAAATAATTCTAGGCCAGGGAGTCTGAACTGTTAACTGTAGCTAAAGATAAAAACAAACAAAAACAAGGGCAGAACTTTGATCAGCAGTTAAAGATAAGGGGAAATGGTCCTAAAGCAAATGTGATACTGATCGAAGGCCAAAGGGAAGAATCACAGTAAAGCAGGGAAATTCTAGGGGAATGCTGGCCCAGATGGAGGAGGTGATAGGGGTCACAACCTCTGATATTCCTTATCTAGGGCTACTGCAGAAACCAGCCTCATCTGGTGAGGCCTTTGCTCCATTCCCTTTCTTGAATGGCCCTTGGGAACACATGTGTCCCAGCAAGTCAAGATAACAAACACAATCTACAGATGGAGGAAGGAAGCTGGTTGTCTATCTTTGCCCCAACTAGAAATAATCATTAATTTAATCTAATAACCCAAACCCCGTCTTCTTTCGGGAAAACCCTAAGGTTCCATTGGGCCCCAGAGTTCAAGCTGACTGATGATCTTGTTGGAGTGGAAAATGCGGAGGTAGGGGGTGGGACGGGGGGCGGGGCAGGGGACAGAGACAGGTGGCGGCAACATGACCTCCTGACCTGCTGTGTGTAGGAGCTTCTTGTGCCCCACGGAATTGCCCAGGGACGTGGGGCTCTTATTGGGCCCCTGGACAGCGGGGGAAGGATGTATAACCCGCTGAAGCCTCATGACTGAGAAAGCGGTGGGACCAGGATCCAGCTCAGGCCAGTTGCCCCAGAACCCACACAGTAACCCCTGCAGGTCCTGACTCCCTCCTGGGTGGGAAGGAAATGGGAAAGAGACAGGGAGGAGGAAACTAGGTGATCAGGAAAGCCACAGACAGGTGGTGAGCAGCTCATTAAACAAACTCACAGAGCCGGACTTCAGAGACGAGGGCTTTAGTGGCTGATGCCAACTGTCACAAAGCTGTAGCTCTAGGAGAGGCCGGCAGGCTATCCGTCAGAATCTCTCATTCTGCGTGTAGTTCTACCAGCTTTGGGACTCCCTGTGTGCCAGACTGACCTTAGTGCTTTGTAACTGTCATCTCGTTTATTTAGTCTGGACAAGAACTCTGCAAGGAAGGGGCTTTTATTGTTCTTTGTGTATCTGAGAAAGCTCAAAGAAATGAAGTACAGGTCACCCAAGTTCAAATCTTCGTAATGGAAGAGCCAGGACTTGAGCCCATTTCTGTCTGATACGGACAAAGGAGGTGGGGAGGCTGTAGAGGCGGCTCCTTGGGCAGCGCCAGGGCAGGACGTAGAAAACCTCCCATCAGATACAGCACCTCCCCAGGCCTCTTTACTCGTGCCTTCAGCCACACAGCTCAGCAGGACGAGATTCAGTGTATTCTGCTTGGGAAAGCAGACATTCCAGAAAGATTTCTGTAGGAAATGTTTTTTCCTAAGAGTTTTGGCACATGGAGCGTGAGTGCTTTGGAAAAGACATGTGTGAGGATGAGTGTCTCCCCTGACCCAGGGCTTCCACTAAGCATTTACAAAGCAAGTCTAGTTCTTACCTGATTTGTCAGCTTTGTGGCATTGGCTCAAATCCCATTCTTTTTCCCCCAAAACCACTGGGATAAGGAGCCCCTTCTTCAACTAGTAGCCTTCATATGTCACAAAAGCAGACCTCGGTGACACCCTCCCAACCTCAGGCGAACCCCGGGCATCAAGCCAGACCAGAAAGTCATGGTTAATGTGAGGCCGGTGCTGGCCTGGGAGTCACTGGGCAAAGGGAGAGGGAGACGGACCATCCGCTCACTGAGAACCCTGCCCCGAGGCCAGCTCTGGGTCAGGCCAGGATAGGGCAGAACTTGAGGGAGGAAGCAGAGGGAAACGGAGCGACCATGGAGCAGTGGTCCCCAGGGCGTGGAGCCTGGCTCCCCGTAGTACAAGAGAGCATGGATGTTAGAAAAGATGTATGTCTCATGCACAAAAAACTAGGGATTTCAAAGCTAAATACATAATGTGTGAATTAAAGTGGACTGAAAGAGAAACATCAAGTCACTCACAGTGAGGTGGCGCAGAGACACAGCCAACAGTTAGGAGATGGATGAACATGATCACAGTTTGGGGACCCAGGCCAAGCGTACTGAGCCGAGGCCAAGAGCAGGCAGGGCACGGGTAGAGGCAGCAATGGAAGGGAGCCTTTCTGCAAGGCAGAGTCCCTGGGCCCGCCAGCAGAGGCCTGTATTGGACCAGGTCACCTGAGAAGCAGGAGGATCTTCACAGGACAAAGGCCTGAACGAAAATGGGGAAGATGCGGGGCGAAACTGGAGGAGGCTTGGGGTCTGGGGGAAGGAGGGAGGGTGGGAAAGTTGGGTGGGAGTGTCCTTAGGGAGATCAGGGCCCTGGGTCTCCCCTGGGTCTCCCCTTCTTCTCCCCTCCACACTCAGTCACGGGGAGCAGCCCCTGGGAAGCTTAGGCAGATGTGGGGATGGATTTGAGAGAGTGGCATGGCTCTAGTCTGCTGTCTAGACGTCTAGAACAGCGGACTCAGGGAGAGGGGCTTAGGGTGCCCCTCCTCTTGGGCTCTGTGGGGATGAAAGAGCCTTAGCCTGCATTAGGTGAGCTTTGTTTTATCAGCTGCCTGGGTTAATAGTTTAGTAAGCCTGATTCTAGCTTCATCAGGTTGCTATTTTCAGTTTTCTGAATTTTCTTTTATGGCCAGAGTTGCAGATTAATCACTCATTTCCTGATGTTATAAACCAGAAATACCTGAAGCAGGTGGATTGGGCCAGCAACCCTGGGGTCAAGGTCAGGTTCCCTTGGAGGGCCGGCACCCAGTTACTCAGAGGCCATCCCAGCCATGGGGCCACCTGGGTGTTTGCAGACGGTGACATCTGAAGCTTCTGCTTCTGGCTGAGGTCTGCTCCTGCGTGGATCGGCCCCCACAGCTCATCCCTCATTCTGTCTCATCCCTGGCTTGCACCCACTCTAATTCATCCAACTCCAGACTGCCTCGTTAGTGTTCAGGTTAATCTTTTTCTGGTGCCCCGTGAAGAAATGTCACCTCTTTAACCTGGCTTTTACCTGACCCCAAACAACTCTTCAAGCCTTCTCTCTCCTGAGTCTTCTTCATTCACTAAGGCATTAAGAGCACGGACTCCAGGGGCACCGAGTTGGCTCAGTCGGTTAAGTGGCCAACTCTTGATCTCAGCTCAGGTCTTGAACTCAGTGTCGTGAGTTCAGGCCCTGCATTGGGCTCCATGCTCCGTGTTGGGTGTCCTGCATGGAGCCCACTTAAAAAAAAAAAAGAGCATAGACTCCAGAGCCACTGGCTGTGTGCCCTTGGAAAGGTTACTCCACTTCTCTCTGCCTCCGTTTCACCATCTGTAAAAAGGACATGGTAATGGTACCTGTCTCCTAGGATTGTTGTGAGGGTTCAGTGACTTAACAAAGTGACTCATTTAGAGCAGGGCCTTGTGTAACATCAGTGTTTGCTAGCTAAGCCTGCCTGAGTACTTTCTGGGCTTGCACGCTCTCATGCCTCTGCACAGCCGGTCCCACTCCCTCAATGCCTTATGTCCACTTTTTGAAATCCTTTGTGAAACCCTCCTTGGCCTCCCAACCTGCTTTCGTGGCCTCTTTGCTGCCTCTGCCCTTAGAGGCTGGTTATTGCCACTGCTGCTGCAATGGAGTTTTCTGGAAGGCGGGCTCCATAGCTAATCACCTCTGTGTCCTTTACTGCTCCTTGTTTGGGAGCTAGGCCAGCGTAGGGCTTGGAAGTCACATGGATCTCCATCTGAAGCCTGGCTCTGCCACTTACTGACTGTGTGGCCCTGGGCCAGTAGCCACCTCCAGTGCCTCCATTTCTGCTCTCTCCCCCCACCCCGTGGGAGTCATATATGGGACCAACCCATGGTTGTTACAGAGCTTCCCTGAGCTAGCTCGTGAGGAGCGTGCAGGCTGGCACCTGGGGGTGTCAGGAAATAGCAGGTGTCATTAGTGACAAAAATGTTTGTGGAGTGAAGGAGAAACTGGTGTGGGAACCGGTTGAGAACCCCTCCTGTCTTCCTCCTTTCCAGGGCCCGCTCCAGCCAGAGACAGCCTCCTGCCTCCTTCCACAGATGCCCCTCATTCCTTAAAAACCAAGTTGGTTGACTTTCCTGTTTCACCTGATTCAAAGGTAAATCTCCCCCACCCCCGGGGTGATACCCCCCCATCCCCATGTGGCTCTTCCTCAGAAATGCAGTGTGCTGGGGCGCCTGGCTGGCTCAATCAGTAGAGCTTGCAGCTCTTGATCTCGGGGTCGTGAGTTCGAGCCCTACGTTGGGTATAGAGATTACTTAAATGAATAAACGGGGGGGGGAAGTAATGTATTGGGACCAGTGTGGGGGCCAGGGGTTAGGGGGATAGGGAGAAAGGAGACTTGTGGAATTACTCCAGGCTTCTAAGGCTAAATGCAGGCTGTCAATGCAGCTAGGGCCTGGGGGCCTGGGGTTGGGATGACTGGAGAGGGTGCACTTTTACATGAATACGTGTTTTTAATGAGCTTTTCCATTCTTTGTGTTTAAATGAGAGCTAATACATGGCATCTTTCTCCCTCCAAAATATATTGGTTACATTTATACTAAGTCATTTGCTTACAAACTACCTCTCTTCTAACCTTTTCCCACCCAATTCATGTCTGAGTTATCCAGAATTTTCAATGACTTGGGTCCAGGACCATAAAGGCACTCTTGCCTTCGTGGGCCTTTTCTTTCCTTCATTAAAAAACAAAAAACAAAAAACTCTCTCTCTCTCTCTCTCCCCCTCTGTCTCTCATGAATAAATAAAATCTTTAAAAAAAAATAAAATTTATTAAAAAAAAGGGCGCCTGGGTGGCTCAGATGGTTGAGCGTCTGCCTTCGGCTCAGGTCGTGATCCCGGGGTCCTGGGATCGAGTCCTGCATCGGGCTCCCTGCTCCTTGGGAGCCTGCTTCTCCCTCTACTTCTCTCTCTCTCTCTCTCTCCCCCCCTCTGTCTCTCATGAATAAATAAAATCTTTAAAAAAAAATAAAATTTATTAAAAAAAAGGGCGCCTGGGTGGCTCAGATGGTTGAGCGTCTGCCTTCGGCTCAGGTCGTGATCCCGGGGTCCTGGGATCGAGTCCTGCATCGGGCTCCCTGCTCCTTGGGAGCCTGCTTCTCCCTCTACTTCTCTCTCTCTCTCTCTCCCCCCCTCTGTCTCTCATGAATAAATAAAATCTTTAAAAAAAAATAAAATTTATTAAAAAAAAGGGCGCCTGGGTGGCTCAGATGGTTGAGCGTCTGCCTTCGGCTCAGGTCGTGATCCCGGGGTCCTGGGATCGAGTCCTGCATCGGGCTCCCTGCTCCTTGGGAAGCCTGCTTCTCCCTCTCCCACTCCCCCTGCTTGTGTTCCCTCTCTCGCTGTCTCTCTGTCTGTCAAATAAATAAATAAATAAATAATCTTAAAAAAAAAAAGGTGAAAACACCAGAAGTCAAAACTATGTGTATGGCATGATCCCAATTTTAAAAATAAATCCCGTGTATCTAATTTACAAGAAATACCTTACACTTTCATAGCACTTCAGTGGATAATGGGATCGTGGATGGTTTTTTCCCCTCTAATTTTCTCAAACAGCCTGTAAGAGCATAGATAGCTTTAAAAAAAAGTTAAACTTCTGTGCACCTGTTTTTAAGAAGGTACGTGACTGAAGCAGAGCCGCTTTTCAGAGGCTCACACAGAATCACGTTTGGTTGTGTGGACCTAGGTCCTGCTTCCCAGCATGTATACCCTGTATAGGACCCCGGGCACCAGTTCAGCCCTTGACCAGCTCTGTGACCTCACCTTAGCTCTCTGACCTCCTTGGTTCTCACTTTTGTAAACTGGGGAAAAAGACAAAACAGAAAAACCCAGCCATGTGCCAGGAATATTCACGTTTTAGTTAATCTTCAGGATTACCCTCCACAGTACTATTGTTATCTTCATTTTTGCTGCTGTGGAAATTAAGGTTCAGAGAGGTTAAGTTACTTACTCAAGGTCACAGAGCCAGTTAGAAGCAGAGGTGGGATTTGAGCTGGCCCTATCCATGTCTTATAAAGGACTGTTTCTCCTCACGGGACAAGATGAACTCCTCCACCCCTTCAGCTTTGATGACGTAAGATTCCCTGAGGTAGTAGGCAAAAAATATTTTCCATGTTAATTCCATATTAATCTCCATCTCTTCTGTCTGCATTCCCAGGACTTTAGCACCTCCCTTCCGAAGCAGGAAACACTTGTGAGCCAGGCTGAAGATAGCCTTTTCTGGAGTGAGGCAGACGTGGTCCAGGCAACGGATAACTTCAACCAAAACCACAAAATCAGTGAGGGCATCTTTGCTGACATCTACAAAGGGCAAAGGCATGGCATGCCATTCGTCTTCAAGAAGCTCAGAGAGGCGAGCACTTCTTGGTTTCTAGTAAGGGGTGGAGGCTATATTGGGTGAGGCTGGATTTTCATGTTTCATGGTCTTTTCCCACAGGTGGCCTACTCAGGTCCAGGACTGGTCGAAAAATTCTTCCAGGCAGAGGTACAAATTTGTCATAGGTAAGCCTCCCCTTTGGAAAATACTTTGCTTAATAATGATAACCTTTATATAGTGCTTCCTGTGTACCAGGCATGTCTTAAGTACTCCACATGTAAAAATGCATTTAATCCACACAAGAACCTTGTAACGTAGCTGCTGTTAGCAGCGTTATTTTGTACATGCACAAACTGAGGCCCAGAGAGGTTAAGTGTCTTGTCCAAGATCACACAGCTAGTACGTGGCAGAGCTGGACTTTGAACCTAGGTTGGTCTGGCTTCATAGTCCGTGCTTTCTCTATGAAGCAACTATATGCATAGATTAGAATTATCAAAGAACCTTGGCTCACTTGGCCCAGCTCTTTCCTTCCAGGCTGGAAGAAATCTGTTTCTATCCCATTTTTCTGAGATGGGCAGAGATTTACTGTTTCCAACGCTCATGGCAAATCCATCTTAAAATGGAATTGCTCCAGAGCAGGGGTTGGCAAATGATGCCCTCTGGGCTAGATCGGGCCGTGCCTGTGTGTGTATGGTCTGACTGCTAAGAATGGGTTCTCCATTTTCAGAGGGTTGAAAAAAAAGAAGAAGAATATTTCACGATACATGGAAAGTACACGAAATTCCGATTTCAGTGTCCACAATAAGGTTTTCCTGGAACACAGCCACGCTTCCTTATTTCTGTCTTCTCTATGGTTGTTTTTGTGAGATAGGCACGGTTGAGTAATTGCAACAGAGACCGTATTGGTCTACAAAGTCTAAAATATTTACTACCTAGCCCTTGGCAGAGAGATTTTTTAAAAGATTTATTTATTTATTTTGAGGGAGTGAGGGGGGGAGGGGAAGAGGGAGAAGGAGAGAGAGTCCCAAGCAGACTCTGCGCTGAGCAAGATCACTACCTGAGCCAACCCCTAGAGTCCGATGTTCAGCTGACTGCGCCACCCAGGTGCCCTGACAGAGAAATGTTGAGCCATAAAGTCTTGAGCAATAAAGACCTGCAAAAGTCATCCTCAAACCTGCTCATTTTACAGATGGGGAAACTGAGGCTGAGAAGGGCAGTGAACCTGCCTGTCCCAGAGCTGGCAGGGGACTGGAAAAGAGAACGGGAAGGACCTGGGGAGACTTGCCCTGGCTCTGCCGTCACTGACTGATGAATTTAACAAAGGCATATTGGGCACCTGTCGGGCGCTGGACGCCAGCTATCATTCAACCTTGGCAAGTCACTCTCTGGGTTTCCTCTGCCAGCATGCGGCCCTGGGCAAGGAATGCATGATTAGTGTGGAGTATCTCAAGAAATAAAGAAAATCATAAATAAGAAAATAGAAATCACCTGTTTTCTGTAGCACCTATAAATAACTACTCCTGTGTTAGTAATTCGTTATATTTTCTTTATTCATACGTGTGTATGAATAAACACACATATTTAATGTGTGTTTTAATTCCCCTTTCCATTTTGGCAAAGTGCCTTCCTGGAGTCAGCAGACACCCCATTCACTGATTGGGCAAACGTGAGTTGTCAAGGCCTTTTTTGGCTCTAGGGAGAATACACAGCCCCTGCCTTGGGAATGGTTATGGTCCAGAAGGGACTGAGTGTAAATGACTCTCCTGAGTGTGAAAAGTGCAGTAGGATGGCCTGGGGAGAGTGGAGGAGGGCAGGAGGGATTGGGCAGGAGGCCATTACGATAGTCCTGTGGAGCATCCATCGGGGTCCAACTCAAGGTAGAGGAGGGGGGAATGAAGGGGACAGTGGGAAAGCTATTTATGATGGTGAATGCTGACTAATTAGATGGGGGAGGTAAAGAGGTTTCCAGGAAACTGCATGGAGACTGCAGAGGTGCCCTTTGTTGAGATAATAACTGGGCACAGGAGCGGGTTTGGGACTTGTTGAGTCTAGGGTGTTCACCTGGAGGATCAGGATGCAGATAGACATTCAGGTCTAGAGCTTAGGAAGGGGCTCCAAGGAGAGATTTGGGGAGTGTTCCCCATAGAGGTGGGAGATACCAGGAGACACAGCTGATAAAACAAAATGATGAGCTGAGCCGGGGGTACTTAGGTTTCAGAGGAAGACAAAGGAGGAGGGTCTTAGTGAAAAAAGCCAAGAGAGAGCAGTCAGAGAGGTAGGAAGAGCCTGGAGGGAAAAGTGACTCAGAACCTAGCAGAAGAGGATTTCAGGGAAGAACCCAGTCCTGGGAGTCCAACAGACCTGCAATCTGATCCTGCCTTCCCTGCTTACTGCTCATGATGGTGAGCAAGTTCCTTAACCTCTAACCTCTAAGGTAGGGTAAGTTTGAGCTCTTTGACTTCAAGCTTGTTGAGGGCAGGCAGTTTTCATCTCTCTACCCTGGTGCTGGGCCCTCAGGGGTCGGAGCATTTGGTACCTGGCTGATCATGACCGTGAGCAAGTTCCTTAACCTCTAAGGCTCTGTTTCCAGAAGATGGGGTGGTTAAGGTGTTATGTGCTGCAGAGCAGTGAGGTAGGGTAAGTTTGAGCTCTTTGACTTCAAGCTTGTTGAAGGCAGTCAGTTTTCATCTCTCTACCCTGGTGCTGGGCCCTCAGGGGTCAGAGCATTTGGCACCTGGGGAGTCACTGGTGACCTCACTGGGGTACAGGGGGCAGAAGAGGGGTGGGAGGTGAGGAAGTGGAGCAGTCTTTGTTTCTTCTTTCTGTCTGACTCCTCACCTCTGCACTAATACCTGATTTCAGATGCTGCCACCCCAACATCTTACCTCTGCTGGGCTTCTGCTCTGGAAATCAGTTTTACAGCTTGATCTACCCATACATGGCAAATGGTTCTTTACAGGACAGACTCCAGGGTCAGGTAAGGGGCTGGGTCATGGTCAGAGAACAGGACCAGGTAGCATCCAGTTAGGGACTCAAGGTTTAAGGGCTTCCAGAAGGGAGAGGGGCCACCCAGAGAGAGAGGTTAGGCTGGGAAAGATGAGATCTGGCTGAACATCTTCAGGGAAAAACCTATAAAAAAATTATTTGAGAAGAGGCATTTCAAGAGCAAGGCAAAGGTATCCCACAGTACTAATTTTATTTAACATTGTTCCGGGGGTGCTAGTCAATGCAATAGGACAAGAAAAACAATTAAGAGGTAAAGAGTATGGAGAAGTAGAAGCAAATTTTTATTTGCTAAAAATGCTATTCTATTATATGTCTATTTGCTTGTGTCTTTATGGGCTATCTCTGGAAGGTTACAAAAAACTGGTGCTTTGGCTGCCTCTGAGGAGGTGAGCTAGGTAGCTGGGGCATGGGACAGGAAAGGAAATTTTACTATATACCCTTCAGTACCTTTCACATATTATGGCAGGTGAGCATAATACCTATTAAAATTACAGTTTTAAAAACAAACAAACCTCCTTCCCATAAAATCGTGAAATAGGGGGAAAGATTTATTCCCCAAGAGAATTACTGCTTCCCTTAAAAGAGACCAGACAAAGCAGGATTCATAGTATAATAATGATTGTTAGGTTTGTTGCGCTCTTGCTGTGTGCGAGACACCACGATAAAGGTTTCGCACATGTCCCCTTCAGGCCTTGCTACAACTCAAGAGGTATCCCCCTTTTCCAAAAGAGGAGTCTCTGGCACAGAGAGGCAAAGTGACCTGCCCAAAGGAACACAGCTGACAGGTGTCAGGGCTGGAATTTAAACAGGGTTCATGTGGCTCTGGATTTCAGAGTTTTTGAGAGGGAATCTGTTAGCAAGGCCAGCTTTCAGAGGATGTGGGGTCTACGACAGGACTTGAAAAATAAGTTGTGATTGAGCCTGGAGTTTCAGTCTTAGAACAACAGTGGCAGAACCTGGAGATGGTGGGGGTTTTAGCTCACCCCACAATCCCCATCAGCCCCTGTGAAGCCTCCCCAAATACACATAAAATTGGCATAAGGCCCAAGTGCTTGGTGTGCTATCACAAGCTCCTTAGCCCCTCTCCCAGGCGTCCCCTCCTAGAGGAAGATTCCAGACCTGCCACTGTATAGTCATGCTTCAAAACAGCTGCAGGTTATCGAGCACCCACTGTGTGGCAGGCACCATGCTAGGGGCATACCGTATACTCATATACCATATGCTCCCTACCATATCCTCCTCTGAGTCCTTAGAGCAATCCTAGAGAGGCATAGGGATTAACATTTCCATTTTGTAACTGAAGAAGAAACTGAGGCTCAGAGATGTCGAGTGTCTTTCCCAAAGTCACACAGCTAGTGCGTGTCTGAGCTGGGATTTACATCTAGGTCTTCTGATGTCGGAACTGGTACCCTGCCGGTACGCCGTGCTGCCCGATCCCTGTTGCAGAGGATGTGAAGGTCTGGAGAAGAGACAGGAGGTCGCTGGGACTTTGAAAAGGCAGAGGTGTGACTGTGTCTCCCCCTCTTTCTCTTTTCCTTAGGGAGGTGCAGACCCCCTCCTCTGGCCCCAGCGTGCCAGCATCTGCTCTGGGCTGCTCCGAGCTGTGGGGCATCTGCACGGCTTGGAGATCATCCACGGCAACGTCAAGAGGTGAGAGTGGTGCCCTGGACCCTGCCGAGGGCCTGCGCTGCGGCGCCGAGTCGCACACCTTCCCGCGCCCCTTCCTCTCCCTCTTCCTCGGTCTCTCTTCTTTGGATTGCTCTCCCCTCCTCACCAACCTTGGATCTCTTCTCTCTTTCTTTGTTATTCCCTCAAAAATCAGGGTTTCTGCTGTCCCTACACACTGCCCACCTGTCACCATGCTTGTCTTTTTTGAGCACCCCACACCCTTGAGGCCTTTTACTTCCAACCCAGCAGCTGGTCTGGACCCGATCCTGGAGCTTTGGGCCAAGCCCCCTAGGATTTTGAGCTCCCCGCTTAGAGTCTTCCTGGACACCCACCCCCTGCTTATGTATCTGTTTGGCAAAAGCAACTCATGTCAGGGAAGCTTCCTGCAGGGTAGGCGTGCAACCCAGTATCTTAGCACCGTGCTCCCAAGAACAAGAGAGTCCTGCCTGTGGACTGGCAGCATGGGGAGAGATTCCAGAAAATACCAGAAAATCTGGCAAAACTGACCTTGAAACGGTAGAACTCATACTTCCTCAAAGTTCTCTATTTGGCAAGTGGAAGCCTAGTCCTCTTTTTTTCTCCCTGATTTTTGTCTGATTGCACAAACAACTGTAATAGCCAGAAAGGAAACGAAAGGGTGAGAGATCATTCTGGCGCTGGTGCCCTGACTCATCGCCTGGCGTCCCTTTCTTCAGCACCCGCCCACACAGAAGTCTTAGCCCCAAGGGAGCACTGTCACCTGCTTACCAATTCATATTTTCTTTTTTACCCCTTTATTTAAACTGGGCAAATCTTTCCGCATGTTGCATGCCATCATTTTTAGTGACTTTTTAGTTTCCCGTTGAAGGGATTGGCCCATAATTTACTTAACCACTCCTAGCAGTGGATATTGGACTTAATGTCTGGGGTTTTTTTTTTTTTTAAGATTTATTTATTTGGTTGGGGGGAGGGGCAGAGGGAGAGAGAATCCCAAGCAGATTCCACACTGAGCATGGAGCCCGATGCGGGGCTTGATTCCTTGACCCTGAGATCACGACCTGAGCCAAAACCAAGAGTTGGACGCTTAACCTACTGCACCACCCAGGTGCTCCTGATGTCTATTTTTTAAACAACGATTTAGGGTTAGTTTGATTATTTTTTTTTTAAGATTTTATTTTATTTATTTGAGACAGAGAGAGAGCACAAGAGGGGGTAGGGTCAGAGGGAGAAGCAGACTCCCTGCTGAGCAGGGAGCCCGATGTGCGACTCAATCCCGGGACTCCAGGATCATGACCTGAGCCGAAGGCAGTCGCTTAACCAACTGAGCCACCCAGGCGCCCTAGTTTGATTATTTTTACACATGTAACTTAGTTGTGTTCTTGCTTGTTGTCTGTTTTTTCCTTTGGAGTACCTTCTGAGAATGTTGACTCCCATAGGTCAGATGCCTAGGTCCAAGAATATTTTTATTGTTCTTCGTATTCCCCATGCTCTGGGCAGGACCAGTCACAGAGGATGGTGGCATTTAGACTCGAGTCAGTCGGGCCAGAGCTGGGGGTCAGAACAGTTTCAGAGGGGACCAAGCTTGCATAGCCCACGGTCTTAGCAAGCTGAAGTTGATGAGGGTTTGACATCTGTGGGGGCCAGGAAGGCCGCACCTTGTTGGCTACCCCAAATGCCATTCCTGGGGCAGCACAACTAATCTTAGCTCCATCCTCCTTTGCTGGTGGGAGTGGATTGCCACTCCCTTCCCTCACCGGGACTGGCTCAGAAAATCCAGATGGTGGGTCTAAAGTGACCCTTAACTTGCCGGGGCCAATGCTGCTTATCATGAAGTTGTTTTCCGAAAGGCTCTCCATGGCAACCTCTTCTTGTCCAGTTCCAAGTGACAAAGTTCTCTCTGCTTTCTTTCTTTCTTTTTTTTTTTTTTTTAAAGATTTTATTTATTTATTTGACAGAGAGAGAGCGAGAGCAGGAACACAAGCAGGGGGAGTGGGAGGGGAGAAGCAGGCTTCCCGCCAAGAGCAGGGAGCCCGATGCGGGGCTCGATCCGAGGACCCTGGGATCATGACCTGAGCCAAAGGCAGAAGTTTAACAACTGAGTCACCCAGGCGCCCCTCTCTCTGCTTTCTTTTCCACAGCTCCAATGTTTTGCTAGACCAAAACTTCACCCCCAAGCTGGCTCATCCAATGGCTCACCTGTGTCCTAACAACAAGAGGTCAAAATATACCATGATGAAGACTCACGTTTTCCAGGCCTCTGCTGCATATCTGCCGGAAGATTTCATCAGGGTGGGGCAGCTGACAAAACGAGTGGACATCTTCAGCTGTGGAATCGTAAGAGCTCCCTTCTCTGCTTGGCCTTGGGCCTGTCCTTATTTGTCCTTCCCTCAGCTCCTTTGTAAGCAGAAGATATAATAGAGGCCCCTAGATTTAGTCCATCAAAATATAGTAGGGGTTGGCAAACTATGGCCCAGGGCATATTTTGTACAGCTTATAACTAAGAATAGTTTTTACATTTATAAAAGATGTAATAATACTGCTAATAAAAGAAGAATATGTGGGGCGCCTGGGTGGCTCAGTCATTTAAGCGTCTGACTTTGCCTCAGGTCATGAACTTGGGGTCCTGGGATTGAGCTCCTCGTCGGGCTCCCTGCGGTGGGGAGCCTGCTTCTCCCTCTACCCTCTGCCCCTCCCCCTGTTCATGCTCTCTCACAAATAAATAAATGAAATCTTTAAAAAAAAAGAATATATGACAGAGATTTGGTTTGTGGCCCACAAAGCCTAAAATACTGTCTGGCATGTTACAGAAATGTTGCCAACCCTTGAAGTATAGCAGCTTCTGTGAAGCTCCTTTCTTCTCTGTTTCCCAGCCAGCCAGCCAGCCAGCCATCTAATTGTCTATCCAGTTGTCTCTTCGTTTTGTCCATCCATCTGTCCAGTCATCCATTCAACTCTTCATCCAATATCCATTCATTCAACTGCCACTCGTCCATTCAGTATCCACCTATGCATCCCCCCTCCCTCCTCACCACCACCGTCCTGTCATCACTGTGTGCTAGGCAGTTGGAATAAAAATGTCACTAAAACACAGTCTTTTCCCCAGGAGCTCATGGTCTGAGTATAGCAGTCTCCAAAGTATATTCTGTGGAACACCCTTGAGGTCTCTGTAGGTTTGATGTATTTAAAGGGTTTTGTGGCCAAATAGGTATGGCCAATGCTGGGTTAAGCAGAGTCAAGCAGATTTCTTTACCACAAAATAATCAGAGACTTTAATATGGTAATGAGCCTTTAATCTAATTTAATTGTGAATTCACCACAGCTGGGCAAATGGTATGCAGCACTTCCCAAATTCATTTGGCTGTGGAACTTTGTTTCCTCAGTCTCTCCACACCAGTGTCCCATGGAACCCAGTCTGGGAAGTGCTGGCTGAGAAAAGCAACAGTCTTTGGCTGGCCTTTGCCAAGAGCAAACAGCTGCCTCTCGGACGGTGCCCTCTCTCTTCCTCTCTACCCTCAAACTCTGTGCTTCCTCTCTCTCTGCTCCGTCTCTTGTCCGTCCTCCTCTCCCACTAATGCCCTCCCGAGCCACCTTCTGCTCTGATCCTGACCTCCAGATGCCAGATTCTACTTCCTTCTGTCTCCCATGGGCTCTTCTGGTTTCCTTGCCCCCATCAGCTCCACTGTGAGGGGCTCAGTGAAGCTCAGTGGGGCTAGCCCAGGCTCCTGCTCTTCTAAAAACCAGCAGAACTGAACGCTGAGGCTGCCAGGCAATCCAGTGTAGAGCTTAAGAGTGTGGGTTTGAGTCCCAGCTTAGTTACTTTCAGCTGTGTGACCTCGGGTACCTCACCTATAACTCTGGGCTGTTTTGTCCTCTGTAAAATGGGATAGTGACATATATGGAGATTAATAAGATAATGTATACAGTTAGAGTACCCTACACTTATCAAGATGATTATTGGTGTGGTATTCCTACCTTCACACTCTCACTCCTGATTTTTGTTTACCCCTGACTTTTTTTTTTTTTTTAAAGAGAGAAAGTGTGAGTGTGTAGAGGGGAGGGGCAGAGGGAGAGGAGAGAGAATCTTAAGCAGGCTCCAGGCTCAGCACAGAGCCCAGTGCCAAGCTCGATATCACAACTGAGAGGTCATGATCTGAGTTGAAACCAAGAGTCTGAAGCTTAACCGACTGAGCCACCCAGGTGCCTGCTCTTTTTTTTTTTTTAAGATTTTATTTATTTATTATAGAGAGAGAGGGAGTGTGTATGGGGAGGGGGAGGGGCCGAGGGAGAGAGAGACAGAATCCCAAGCAGACTCTATGCTGAGTGCTAAGCCCTGAGCCCGATGTGAGGCTCCATTGCACGACCCTGAGATCATGACCTGAGCCGAAATCAAGAGTCGGACGCTCAACTGACTGAGCCACCCAGGCGCCTCTTGCCCTTTGACTTTTTAACTCAGCTTTTGCTGTAAGAATTTTTTAAATTAATTTATGCATTCCATGGCAACGGGCTCCCTTCACTCTTTCTCAGCTCAGCCACTAGCTGACGGTATGATTTTGAACTCTGATTCCTCCTGTTGGGAACACTGCATTTCTCAGTGGGTTTTTTTTTTTTAAGATTTAATTTATTTGTCAGAGAGAGTGGGAAAGCACACACAAGCAGGGGGAGCGGCAGGCGGAGGGAGAAGCAAGTGTCCTGCTGAGCTGGGAGCCCGATACGGGACTTGATCCCAAGACCCTGGGATCATGACCTGAGCCGAAGGCCGACGCTTAACTGACTGAGCCACCCAGGTGCCTCTCAGTGTTTTGTTTTGTTTTGTTTTGTTTTCCCCAAGCACTATATGACCTCTCTAAAAGGTTCAGCTTAGAGCCTGCCTGTGGAAGGGGCAGAGGGAATGTGTGTTTATTCTTTTCTCCTTGTTCTTCCCTCCCTTCCTGGCAGGAGGAGCTGGTTGGGAATCCCTTTTCAGTGTGCGCCCACCCACTTGCTGCAGGGTGCCCTCTGCTGCCCCCTGCTGGCCACTGCCGGTCTGTGATTAACCCAGCAGGCCCTTCCTCTGGGGATGGAGAATTTCTTGGCGGTCAAGTGACTGTATTCTGACTTGCTTCCAGGGAGGTTGTGGGAGAGAGATTTGAAGCGAAGGGTGGGGTGCTCACTCCCTTATATTCACAACCAGCTCACCATTTACCAGGTAAGGATGCAGGCTCAGATTTTCGTCATTTAGCGATTAAGAGAGTCAGAATTTGAACCCAGGCAGGCCTGACTGTAGAGCCCTTAACCACTATGCTCTGCTGAGAATTTCTGTTCAAAGCAGGTTTCCCCTTTATTAAGACACGTATCATGGTTTGTCAACGTTGTGGTGTCTCACACTGGTGCAGGGTTGTGCTCCTTCTGTGAGTGGGTGAATTAATGAACAGATCATGTGAATAAAGGCCTAGGAAGAAACATGCTTTAGTTGTTGCTGAGACTTTCTGTGTAGACTAGTCTTACATACATGGATTCCTCCTTTCCCTGAGATTGACGTAGCAACGCCTGCTTACCATTTCTTTTTTTTTTTTTAAGATGTATTTATGTATTTATTTGTCAGAGAGAGAGAGCACAAGCAGGGGGAGCGGCAGGCAGAGGGAGAAGCAGGTTCCCCGATGAGCAGGGAGCCCGATGCAAGACTCCATCCCAGGACCCTGGGATCATGACCTGAGCCAAAGGCAGACGCTTAACCAACTGAGCCACCCAGGCGCCCAGCCTGCTTACCATTTCTGATGGGTTTTTAAATGAAATGATCTTTAAAATATAGTGTGTGTGTGTGCGTGTGTGTGTGTAGATACATGTATATATAGAAAAATGTGTATATGTGTATGTGTATATATACACATTTATATATAAATATGTAGTATGTATATGTAAATATACATACTTACACATACACATATTTATATATACATACATATTTTTATATAAGTATATGGTGTGCGTATATAAACATACATATTATATATTTATTTGGATATACATGCAAAACTGATGGTAATACGCACACGTTTGGTTTCCATCCTCCCTGACTTGCTATTCATTTAAACCTTCTACTAGCAGCTGGGTGGTGTGTTTAGTTAGGAGGAGGTATTTAGTGATATTCCCATGTTCCCAATTTGGGGCAAGTGTCTGTACTGGTAAATGGCAGAGCCGGGCCTGGGGCTCAGCCTTTGCTACTAAGAAGAATCGTTGCTCGTGGCCCGAATCTCCTGCCTGAACTTTTGCATGAGTGTCTGAACCGTGCTAACTGCATGTTCTCTCCAGGTGCTAGCTGAGATCCTCACTGGCATCCCTGCAATGGATAACAACCGAAGCCCCGTTTACCTGGTAAGGGAACCAGTCACTTCTGGTTCACAGCTACTGGGGGGGGGGCTGTGGGGAGGGGGTCAGGAGGGCAAGCACCTCCACTCTACCCATTTTACAGATGGTTATGAGGTCTCAGTCTGCAGTTTGATTTGCAAAGTAACCTTAACCTCTCGCCCTCTTACCAGTCAGCCAAGTTCATGATAAGAGAACTTAGAATGTTTAGGGGAATCCCGTTTCTTCTCTACACATCTGGCAATCAAATAGGATTTGTCTTCAAGAGCCAGACTCTGTGTTTGGCACTTTACATATATTATCTTTCTAAGTCATCACAAAATCCCCCCGAGATTGACAGGGTCACGACGTTCACCTGCCCTTGAGACAAGCAGTCTCCGAGGTTCACCCGAGATCTCGGCTTTGCTAAGTGGCAGAGCCGGACTTCCACATCAGGTCTTCTGGACTGCAGCTCCTGAGTTCTTAACCCCGACACTATGCTGACTGTTTAATTCTCATGACAGTCCAGCTATATGAATTCAGGATTATTATCATCCCCATTTCGCAGATGAGAAAACTAAGGCCGAGGTGAAGAGACTTGTGTCACGCCCCCCGCCCCAGTGAGATCAGTGGTGGAATTGGGATTTGAACCCATGTCTTCTGCACAGTTCCAAATCCTGTGAAAGCTTTACTCCTCTTCATCAGTTTGAGAGGAATCACCTTTCCTGACTTGAGGTTGAGGCCATTAGATCAGCTGGCTTTTTTTGGTGACTGGGCCCCCAAAACATCCCCTGGGCCCTGGGGTGGGGAGCTGAAGGCTTTCCTACCCACAGAAAGTCATTCCACTTTTGGAGACTGGGCCCCCGATATTACAAAGAGGTGGGTTTCAGCACCTCAGATGTGGTTTGGGGCAGTTTGAGGTGGTTTCTCATATTCTGACAGTTTTCTTGGGGTGAATTCCCTAACAGTCCTCTGGGTGTCCCTGGATGAATGTCGCAAGAGGAATCTTTTGAGACACTTACGTGAAATTTCCTAGAAGGTGTTTCTGTTAATGGTTTCTAAAAATGTGGAGGAAGGGGCGCCTGGCTGGCTCAGTCAGTGGAGCACGCGACTCTTGATCTTGGGGTCATGAGTTCAAGCCCCGTGTTGGGCGTAGAGTTTACTTTAAAAAAAATGTGGAGGATAGAATTTTTTTAAAAAACCTTAATAAAAAAATGAAGATTGAGCATGTTATTAAGATTCAAATCAGAGATGAAAACTGCTAGCACCTAGGGGTGGGAGGAAGCAGGCCTCTCTTCCACCCCCGGGGGAGTGTTTTCCGAAGTGGCCGCAGTGTTTTCCGAAGGTCATCGGGTGGTTTCCATCGAAGTTTAACATGGGTGTACCTTCTGATGCGGTCATTTCACGTACACAGAGGGACACATACATACAAGCCAAAGATGGACACGGCTGTTCACTGTAGCATTATTTATGTTAGGAAACAGCTACAAACAAGTAAAATATCTGTCAGTTGGGAGGTGGTGAAGAAAATTACAGTATAATCACACACCCTGGTAATTCCATGAAATTATTTGTAAATAGGTTTATAAGTAGTGAGAATGAAGTGTATAACGTGATCAATTTTGACATATGTATGTATCTGTGAAATCGTCACCTAGTCATGTTTGTGACTGTGCCTGCTACCCTGGAAGTTACCTCTTGTCCTTGGTAATTCTGCCCTCCCAGCCCTCCCAGCCCTCCCAGCCCCCCCAGCCCCCCCAGCCCCCCCCAGCCCCTGCCAGCCCCTGCCGCCACTGATCTGCTTTCTGTCACCGCATGAGGTTCCACTCTCTGGACTTTCATATAAATGAAATCAGAGAGAGTTGGCTCTTTTGGTGTCTGGATTTTTCCACTCAGCATGGTTATTCTGAGATATGTCCCATGCTCTTTGTGTGGGTCCATGGTTCATTCAGTTTTGCTGAGTAATGTTCCATTGCAGGGATGTGCCACCGTGTGTCCACTCATCTGTTGATGGACATTTGGTGTGTTCCCAGTTTTTGACCGTTACACCTGTAGATGCCAGGTACTTTTCTGTGCGGGTCTCACTGTGGACATGTGCGTTCATTTCTGTTGAGGTATAATTCACACTTGTGAAGTGTACAGAATGGTATAAATTTTGGAAAGCGTGGACAGTTATGTAACCAACACCACCATAATCCAGATATGGAGTATTTTCATCATTCCAGAAAATTCCCTTGGGCAACTTTATAGTCAGTCCCTTCTCCCCGCTTCCTGTTCTTATTTCTTTTTTAAAAAATTTTATTTATTTATTTATTTATTTGACAGAGAGAGAGAGAGAGAGAGAGCACAAGTAGGCAGAGCGGCAAGCAGAGGAAGAGGGAGAAGCAGGCTCCCTACAGGGAGCCTGCTTCTCCCTCTGCCTGCCGCTCCCGCAGCTTGTGCTCGTTCACTCTCTCTCAAATAAATAAATGAAAAAATGTGTGTGTGTGTGTATGTGTGTGTATTTTAAAGCATATCCCAGATATTGTTATTCCACCCATAAAATAGTTTTCTTAATTCCTTAATATCATTTAATGCCCATTCCATGTTTAAATTTCCCAAGTTGTCTCAAAAATTGCTTTTTATTTTTTTTTTAAAGATTTTATTTATTTATTTGAGAGAGAGAGAATGAGAGAGAGCACATAAGGGGGGAGGGTCAGAGGGCGAAGCAGACTCCCCGCTGAGCAGGGAGCCCGATGCGGGACTCGATCCAGGGACTCCAGGATCATGACCTGAGCCGAAGGCAGTCGCCTAACCAACTGAGCCACCCAGGCGCCCTCAAAAATTGCTTTTTAAAGTTGGTTTGTTTGAAACCGATACAAAGTCCACATGTTACCATTAATTATGTTTCTTACAAATATTTAAAAAAAATAAAAAAGGGGTGCCTGGGTGGCAGAGTCGGTTAAGCATCTGACTCTTGGTTTCAGCTCAGGTCACGATCTTGGGGTGGTGGGATGAAGGCCCATGTTGGGACTTATGGTGGGACTTTCTCTCCGTCTCCCTCTGCTCCTCCCCCACTCCCTCCCCTCAATAAATAAATACATCTTTAAACAAATAACTATGTTTCTTGAAACGTAAAAAAAGCCAGCTGTTCTAATGGCCTCAACATCAAGTCAGGAAAGATGCTTCCTCTCAAACTGATGAAGAGGAGTAGAGCTTTTTTTTTTAAGTGTTTAAGTTTTTTTTAAATTATTTAAGAGATTTCTACACCCCATGTGGGGCTCGAACTCATGACCTCTGAGACCAAGAGCCACATGCTGTTCTGATTGAGCCAGCCAGGCAGCACTTGAAACTCTTCTGTTCTCCAACTGCACCCCTTCCTGTGTTTTCTTTCCATATGTCATTGCATTTTTGCATAAAGTGAGTCATTTGTTCTGTAAGTCTCTCATGTTCTGGATTTTTACATCCTTGTGGTATTTTTTTTTTTTAAAGACTTAAAAAAATTCATTTAGAGAGGGAGAGAGAGAAAGCACACATGTGTGTGAGTGGGGGAAGGGGCAGAAGCAGAGGGAGAGATAGAATCTCAAGCTGACTCCATGCCAAGCACAGAACCCAACTAAGGGGCTCAATCTCATGCCCCTGAGATCACGACCTGAGCCAAAACCAAGAGTCACTCAACTGACTGAGGCACCCAGCCCCCACCTCCCATTCTTGTGGTATTCTTAACTTGTTTCTCTCTACCTCTTGTCCTGAGACTTGGTTAGATTCATGATCAGTGCTGCTTCCTGGGTGATGCCTGGTGCTTCCCACAGCATCACAACATGAGGCGCATAGCGGGTCCTCCTCCTTCCAGTGCTGAGGTTCATCAGTGGGTCCAGGTGGAGTTGCTGACTCCCCCAATCCCTAAGTTCCCTCATCACCCTACCCCTGAGTGTTCTTAGCATCTCCTGATGACTCTTGCCAGATGAGATCCACAATTTCACTGTGGGGGAGTCAGATGGTGAGCCTCTGCTTCTGTCATTCTTTCAGGCCAGTTGTTTTGAACAGTCTCTTTCTTTTCTTTCCTTTTTTTTAAAGATTTTATATTTTTATTAGACAGAGAGAGAGAGAGAGAGCACAAGCAGGGTGGCGGCAGGCAGAGGGAGAGGGAGAAGCAGACTCCCTGCTGAGCAGGGAGCCCGATGTGGGACTCGATCCCGGGACTCCAGGATCATGACCTGAGTCGAAGGCAGTCGCCTAACCAACTGAGCCACTCAGGCGCCAGGATGTGAGATTTAGAGGAGGAGTATTCTAGGCAGAGGGAACAGCAAGTGCAAAGGCCCTGGGGCAGGATGAGTTTAGGTGCTTCCAAGAACAGAAAGAAACCAGAGTGACTGAGTACAGTGAGTCACAGAGGGAGGAGATGAGATGGGAAAGGTCAGCAGGTGCCAGATTGTCACAAAGTCTGGGGTTTCTGATGGCCATAGCTATGGATGGGAAAGTGGGAACTCTTGACATTAAAAACAACGCAAACAAAAAACTTTTAATTTAAAATTTTCTAAGCTCGTAGAACATTTAGTAAGTACAGGAAGGTATATAAAAGAGAACAGAGGGATGCCTGGGTGGCTCAGTGGATTAAGCGTCTGTCTTTGGCTCAGGTCATGATTCTGGAGTCCTGGGATCAAGCCCCACGTTGGGCTCCGGGCTCAGTGGGGAGTCTGCTTCTCCCTCTGCCTCTGCCTCTCCCTTTGCTCATGCTCTCTCACTAGTGCTGTTGCTCATGCTCTCTCACTCTCAAAAAACAAAAAACAAAACATATATAACAAATAGAATATACATGGAAAATGTATATATAAATGTTTTTTTATTTATACAATAAATATATCACAAATATAAAAACATAAATATCAATATTTCATGTTAATATAATAGATTAATGCACTATATATTATACCAGTATTATACATAATTAAATTACATATTTCCTTATAATATATTTAATATATATAATCAATGTATTTAATATATTTGTAACATATTTGCAAATACATAAATATATACTTATGAAATATTGTGAAACATAATTTATATTATATAAATATGCTATATATTTTTACATAAATATATGTATTTTTAAAATTTTTTTTCTAAAGATTTTATTTATTTATTTGACAGAGAGAGAGAGATAGCGGGAGAGGGAACACAAGCAGGGGGAGTGGGAGAGGGAGAAGCAGGCTCTCCGCCGAGCAGGGAGCCCGGCGCAGGGCTTGATCCCAGGACCCTGGGACCATGACCCGAGCTGAAGGCAGACGCTTAACGACTGAGCCACCCAGGCGCCCCGGATCCTTGCATTTCTTTCTTAAAATCCTGTTTTCCTCGAGGTTTTGCAGGTCTGGCGCCGTTGCAGGGGCGGTTGGGACACAAGTGCGGTGGAATCCCGCATCCCTGCAGCTCACACGGGGCTGCTTTTCCTTTTCTTCCCGCAGAAGGATTTACTCCTCAGTGCAGTCCCCAGCAGCAGCCCCTCGCTGTGCGGCAGGAAGACCGGCGTGGAAACGGTGATGGCTAAGGAGATCTGCCAGAAGTACCTGGAGAAGGGAGCCGGGCGGCTGCTCGACGACTGCGCCGAGGCCTTGGCCATGGCCGCCTGCCTCTGCCTGAGAAGGCGGAACGCCAGCTTGGCTGAGGTGAGCCTCATTCTCCGCCCGCCCTGGCCATGGGCCCTGCCCTGGGTTGGGTGGGCCTCCTGTCCTGGTGGCCGCATGGTTCTGCTTTACCAGGAACTGGGGTATGGCTCAGGGTTGAGGCCTTTACCTAGAAGTCGCTTCATAAACCAGGGCTGTAAGTTTGGTTGCAAGCAACAGCTCATATTGGAGCTCAGAGAAGCCAAGTAGGGAAGCGAATGGGTAAGGGTAGCTCAGGAGCCTGAGGGTGGTGTGCTGCGGGCCTTGGGGGGCCCAGGGTCCCAGGCTCAGATGTTAACAGAACACTGCTTTCTCTGAATCTGCTTGATTCCTCCTCTCTTGTCTGTGGACTCCCTTTTCCTTGCCTCTATCCTCTTGGCTAGGGGATATGGCTGTCTGTATTGTTTATATGTTATGGTTCTACCCCCACTGAGCGATCAAGTCTCCAGGTCCCAATTCCAGTTTCTCATTGAGAGAGCCTGTTTGGCCTACCTAGAGTCAGTAGTCCACCTGCTGGCCAATCAGGTAAGGTGAGGGGAGTGGGGTCCAGTATATAAACCTAGTGGTCAGGGGGTGTACCCCAGAAAGACGGAAAGGGCTAAGTCCCAGAGGAAGGGAGCATCTTTAGCCCCTGGGCTTAGGCAGATACTCCAGAAATCAACCACATTAGGAGATAAAACATTTTCCTATGGATGCGGTATAGAGTGGTGGTTTCCATGGTAACAAGTGTAAATTTGGGCACCACTGCTAGATATTTCTAAGGACCAAATAGCTGCCCGAGAGGACTCTTTGAGACCATCTAGCTGAGTGATTTTCTTTTTCTTTTTTTTTTTTTTAAGATTTTATTTATTTATTTGAGAGAGAGAGAGAGAGAGAGCATGAGAGGGGAGAAGGTCAGAGGGAGAAGCAGGCTCCCCGCTGAGCAGGGAGCCCGATGTGGGACTCGATCCCCGGACTCCGGGATCATGACCTGAGCCGAAGGCAGTCGCTTAACCAACTGAGCCACCCACACGCCCTACCTGAGTGATTTTCAAGTGGTGTCTGGCAGAGAGGGGTGCCTTGAAGTTACCTCAGGAATTGCTTTCGTCAGCAAGAGGGTTTGGGGAGCTGCAGGCCCCACGCATGACTACCACCAGACACCCCCTTTCACTTCACATAATCATATTGGATTCTCAGTATTTTATCTGAGGGAGGTTTTAGTAGCGGGGAAAAAAAAAAAATCTTCAAACACCACTGCTATAGCCCTAGCCTGCCATTTTATAGGAAGTAAAGTTCCAGAGAAGAGAAGATGAGGCCACAGAGTGAGTTTCTGTCAGAGCCCTCTGGACTCCTGGTTCATTCCCTTGTTCACCATCTTGCACTATGACGTGGCAGGAGCTAGAGACCCTCGACTCAAGACCCAAGTCATTGTTCTTCACCTGGGGTGTTCCCTAAGTGCCTGAGTGGTACAGCATTCAGTCAGTCATTCAGCACTTGTGTGCTGGGCCCTGGGGGATAAATCGGTGAACAAGGCAGGCCCAGTTCTACTTTCCTGGAGCTCTCAGACAATGCACAGTGATCATCTAGGTGGGGAGCATTGGGATGGCATGTGATGGGGCCCCACCCAGGGGGACTTTCCCTGAGGAAGTGATGTGTAAGCAGATAAAGAGCAATCCAAGCAGATGGAACAGCTCATGCAAATGGCCTGAGGTGAGAGAAAGCCTGGCTTGGTCAAGGGTCTGGAAGGTCAGAGTGGCTAGAACAAAAAGTACGTGGGGAAGAGTGGCTTGTGGTGGGGCTGCTGAGGAAGGAGGAGCCCTGTAATTGAGGGCTTTGCAGGCACAGTTAGGATTTTGAGGAAGACACTAGGGGTTTGAAGCAGGGGCAAGACATAATCAGATTTATGTTCTGTGAAGATCTCCCTCCCCTAACCACTTATTCCTCCTTTCAGGCTTTCCTCTCTTCATTTATTTTGTTCTTTTGTTCATTGTCTCAGTTAAAGGACACTCAGAAAAGCTGCTATAATGAGGAGACTCCAAAATCCAGTGTTTTAAATGAGATAGAAGTTTATTCTCTTTAGCTTAACCCCTTGACTGTAGGCAGTTCAGAGCTGATGTGACAGTGCCACTTTATTGGGGACCCCAGGTTCCCTTTGTATTGTTGCTCTGCTATCCTTACTGTGTGGCTTCCAGTTCAGAGTCTAAGACGGCTGCTCTAGCTCAGGCCATCACATCTGCATTCCAGCCACTGAACAGGGGGTTAAGAGAAAGAGAACACACTCCCTACCCGCCCCCCTTTTTTTTAAGATTTTATATATTTACTTGTCAGAGAGCACAAGTAGGGGAAGCAGGAGGCAGAGGGAGAAGCAGGCTCCCCACTGAGCAAGGACCCTGGGATCATGACCTGAGCGAAGGCAGACTCTTAGCCAACTGAGCCACCCAGGCATCCCCACTCCCTGCCTTTTAAAGGTGTGACCTGGAAATGCACACATCACTTTTTCTCACACTCCATAGGCCATAATCTAGTGACATGGCCACACATAGCTTCAAGGGGATGTAGCTTTTAGCTTGACAAATACTTATTGAGCATATACTGTGAAGATTTGTCTCAAGAGGTGACATTTGAACTGGACCTTGAAGGATGTGGAGGTATTTGTTGTGTAGAATAAAGGGGATAGGGCATTTGAAGTATACAAAGAGGAATGAGAAATTGTCCTTGCCCTCAGTATTTCACAAACAAACTAGGAAGATGAGAGGTCATCTGGGTCATGAACTTGAAGATGAGTAAGCCTAGGGCCAGTGGTCAGCTCTGCTGTCTACTGGCTAAGTAGCCTTAGACAAGGAACTTAACTTCTCTGATCTTTTATTTATTTATTTTTAAAAATATTTATTTATTTGACAGAGAAAGAGAGAGAGCACAAGCAGGGGGAGCAGCAGGCAGAGGCAGAGGGAGAAGCAGGCTTCCCGCTGAGCAGGGAGCCCAGTGTGGGACTTGATCCCAGGACCCTGGGAACATGACCTGAGCCGAAGGCAGATGCTTAACTGACAGAGCCACCCAGGCACCCCAGCTTCTCTGATCTTTTTTTTAACCTATAAAAATTTTTTATAATTTTTTAACCTATAAAAACTTATTGTGCATTTTGTGTCAAATGTTCTTTGTAAATTGCAAAGGTGCTGAGCAAGTGAGATGTGTCATTGTTATTAAGGGTATGCTTGTATGGGCGCCTGGGTGGCTCAGTTGGTTGGGCAGCTGCCTTCGGCTCAGGTCATGATCCTGGAGTCCCGGGATCGAGTCCCGTGTCGGGCTCCCTGCTCGGCGGGGAGTCTGCTTCTCCCTCTGACCATCCCCCCTCTCATGCTCTCTATCTCATTCTCTCTCTCAAATAAATGAATAAAATCTTAAAAAAAAAAGGGTACGCTTGTATGCCCTTTGTGTGTGTGTGTGTGTGTAAAGAAGAAACATTCCTTCCCTGCCTCCTTCTGATTTCTTAACCTCCCTAATTAGAAATGCCCTCAAGGGCAAGTAATATCTATATTACTTAGGGCATTTCCAGTTCAAAGTGATAGAACTCAGGTCAAACTCTTAGTCTCTCTCTCTCTCACACACACACACTCACACAGCAAGGGAGATTGGGAGGGAGTATATGAATGAGTGAATGAATGATCAATTAATGAATGAATTTATTGGCTCATGTAACCCAACAGCACACAGGACAGGCATTGCTAGGCCAGCTAGACGCAGGGTCTCCACCAGCAAAGGTGCATTTATCTGTGTCTCTGTGCTTGTGTCCCACTTCTCCATCTCTTGCCCCTGCTTTATTCTTTACAGGGGTCTCCACTTTTTCCTACTGTGAATGGGTTTTCTTTGTGGGTGGAGAGTCTGGGTCAACCACTAGAAAGGAATCGGGAGTCCTTCCTCTGTAAGCTTTAGGTAGAAAAATCCCAGAGAAGGATTCTAATTGGCCAGCTTGGGTCACGTGCCCAAACCTGGCTCATTAATGTGACAGAGGAATGGGATACAGCGATTGGTCCGTCTTGGTCATGTGCTCTCATCTACGGCTAGGGTGGATGGGGGCAAGTTCAGCTCTGTTCAAAGGGCTTTCGCTGTTCTTCCAGACAAAGCAATAAGAATCAACATTGGATTCTTCATTGTTTTTCCGGAGGCCTGGGATACCTGTAAGCTTTTTGATTTGAGAAAGAGGTTTTTGTTTTGTTTTGTTTTGTTTTAAGGTAGGCCTCCATGCCCAGCATGGAGCCCAACATGGGGCTTGAACTCACAACCCTGAGATCAAGACCTGAGCTAAAATGTCCAATGCGTAACGGACTGAGCCATCCAGGCGCCCCGGTTTCAGAAAGAATTGTTGTCTCTCCTCTCCCCAAGGTGTGTGGCTCTGTAGCGGCTGTGGAAGAGCAGCTCAGAGGTCAGGAGACGTTGCTCCCTTTGAGTGGGCTTTCTGAGGGCACAGGCTCCTCCTCCAATACCCCAGAAGAAACAGACGACGTGGACAATTCCAGCCTCGAGGCCTCCTCCTCCATGAGGGTAGCACCCGGGGCTAGGGCTGCCGCCTCACTCCCTTCAACAGAGGATGGAGAAGGCAGGCTGCAGGTGTGTGTCGGAGTGCTGGCAGACTCCTTCTCTGTGGCCTCTGCCAGGCCGGAGCCTCCCCAGGATGGTAAGCGTGGGGAGATCTGAGTGCATATGCAAGCTCATTCATGTGTCTCTAACTCTGCCCATCATTTATTCCTTTTATTGCTCTCATTCATGCCTTCCTTGATTATTCAGCCGTTCACCTACCAGCAGACTGCACACAAAGAAACCTTGGATGGGGGTCATCCTTGATACCTCCCTCTCTCTCTGGCCACTTATGTCCAGTCCATCACCTAGTCTATTCATTGGCCTAAATATCTATCAGCTCCATCTGCTTCTCTGCATTGCCTTGCACCCCTCCCCCCTTAACTAAGCTACTGTCCTCTTGCTGGATGACCACACAGCCTTCCTGTGTCCTCCCTTCCTTGTTTTTTTTTTTTTATTTTATTATTTTTTTATTTTCAGAGTTTTTTTTTTTTTTTAAAGATTTTATTTCTTTATTTGACAGAGAGACACAGCGAGAGAGGAAACACAAGCAGGGGGGAGTGGGAGAGGGAGAAGCATGCTCCCCGCCGAGCAGGGAGCCCGATGCGGGGCTCGATCCCAGGACCCTGGGATCATGACCTGAGCCGAAGGCAGACGCTTAATGACTGAGCTGCCCAGGTGCCCCCAGAGTGGTTTTTGAAAACAACTCATGCTACCTCTTATTTAAAGCCCTTGTGTGGCTCCCCATTGTACTTAGGGACCAAGTCAAAACTCTTACTATCTCTGTCTCTCCTTTCCAAATATTCCAGGCTTCCTTCTGAAATAAAAATTTGGGAGGCCTTTTCAATGCAGTGTCCCTCTCCCCTAATAAACCTGGCTTAATGAATGTCCCAGGCTTAACCATTCCTATTGCTCCTCCTCCCACTGGGAGGAGAGAGGAGGGAAAAGAGAGAGGGGGTGTAAATGTTCATCCCAACCTCTCCCATCCAAGGAAGGAGCATGGAAGCCCCCTCCTTTCAGAAAAGTGGGGGCAGGTGGTGGGACTTCACTGCAAAGGCAGAAATAATGAAAATGCTCATTATGCTCAGGGCTTGATTCAGAAATCTGATTTAAGTGAGAAACTGAGCAAGTCTGACTTTCTAAGAACTATAATAATAGTAACTATTTCCAAATGCCTTTTGTTGAAGTTCTTTCTTTAAACTTTCTGAACATCAGCTACAGAGACTTCATGGAGAATCGAGATCAATGAGGCCAAAAAGAAACTGATGGAGAATATCGTGTTCTACAAAGAAGGGAAACTGGACAGCATTGAGCTTTTTGGCCCCTGATGACCAGAGCACAGCTTATCCTCGATTGGAAAGACAAACACCAAATCAAGAAAAAGATCTGAGGCAGAATCATAATCTCCCAGTAAATACCAAACATCAGCTTTCCTGGACCAGGGAGAGAAGGTTCCATCTTGCCAGAGTGAATTAGGGAAGAAGGGACCTCAGCTTTTCAAGACACAAAAATCCATGAAGTCATCGTTCTTTCTGGGATTTGTCAATCAGAGCTGGGGATCAAGAGACCGAAGTGGAAACCCTGGTCCATAGGCCCAGGATGTGGGCAGTTTTGTGGTTTTGGGGTGTATGTGGTAATACTGTTACTCAGCTCACACCCCTCAAGAACTGAGGGAGGATTGTCAGTTGCACTTTCCAAAGTTAAGTCTTCTGGGTCCTATTTGCCGACAACCACCTGCAAACTTCCATGGCCTGAAAGATTCTCAACTTGTGTCCCAATACAGTTCTTAATTCACAGTCTGGAGTTTACAAATGCCAGACACCTGGCAAAGAGCTCTGCAGGTTTTCCACGTCTCTCAGAAATCTTGTAACCCACAGATACTTATTTAATGCCTACTCAGCGCCTTTATTGTCCCATCCCACTAATGCTAATATTTTTAGTGGAGCTTTTATTTTGAGAGTATGTGTTATTTATGGGTGAATGAAGAATCAGAGAGCTAGCTTTATGTCCAGTTCTGTTGCTATTCAAATCAATTATTTATTCTGGAACTTTGGTTTCCTTATAAGTAACACCTGTTCATTTTCCTTCCTTGGTTTGTTGGAACAGGTGAGACATGGTTATAGAAGTACTTTGAAAATGCCCTTATCCTTTTTTATAAAATAAATAAAGACATTAAACATATTTCTGCCATGTACCTAAGGTTTATGCGCTGGGTATTTTTCTGAAAAGTCATGTTGCAAGTATTTTTGTGAAACAAATGCTATTTTAAATTCAGTGTGTCCTATTTTAAATAATCCTACTGTAGTGATTTTTTTTTGTAAAATAAAAATACGTTTGTAAAGTCAACAGATCTCTTGCAATTAGTTTTGTGTCCAGATGAATTTGTTTGGAAAAGGGGCTCTGGGCCCATGTTAAGGGGGTATCATGGAGTGCCTAAGAGTTGGGAGTGGCTATAAATGTTGGTGTTAGTAGCTTTGTGATCTTGGGTCAATTTAGGGAGTTACTCTGAGCCTCTGTTTTTCATCTATACAATAGGGAGAATAAAAAGTACCTGTTTCCTGGGTTTGTCAGGGCAAGGGGAAGATCTTGCTTCATGAAAGCATTCAGCAGTCCCCAAACAAGATCAGCTTTGTACTGATATGTAACAGAGCTGGGTGGGCTGCGGTCCCAGCAGACCGTGATCTGTACCGACACCCGTTTTAAGCTCTGGTGGCTGTGAGGATTCAACTAGAGTGTGTTACATGCCACAGACAGGACCCAGCATGTGGTAAGCCCCTTACAGTTATGAGTAGGGTGCTTTCAGGGCTGTTTGAGCAACAGAGGGCTAGTGCCAATAGGGTAATGGTTATCTAGACATACCTGCATTTCCAGACCACGGCTTCATACATTTGTGGCAAGGTCAATGAACCACTTCTGTCAATCTACAGACCTTTTCCCCTCAGCAAGCTGTAAAAACGTACATATACATTTCTGTATATCAATTCCAGGGGCTTATGGGCACTGTGATGCCTTTCTATGAATCCTCAGAAGGAAGGCCTTTTTTTTTTTTTAGTTAATAAATGCACATGACCAAAAAAATCCAGTAGTACAAACGATTATGTGGTGGAAAGCAAGCCTTTTTTTTTCCACTGGGATTTTAGTGTCTCCCTTCTGCCCACAGGCAACCACTGTTCCTAGTTTGGGGTATCGTTCCAAAGATGATGAAAATTTTATCTTTTTGCTTAACTAATCTAATCGATCATTAGATTTCCGAGTTAGATTGAGCTGAAGACAGTTGGAATTTCTGGCTTCAGCATGGGTATATTTTTTCACATCCTTTTTGGCCATTCTGCTTCAGTAATACTTTTGGATTACTTTAGTCTTTTTGCCTGGTATTCCTTTCTAAGGATATTCCATAATTTGTAGGACTAGCTTCCAATGCTGGATTTTGAGGTGGTTTTTCATTCTTGTAACTTCAAATGGTGCTGCCTTCCAAAGAGGTTGTACTAATTTACACTGAATCAGGTCTGGGAATGCATTTCCCCACATCCTCAGCTACAAAGAGTATTATCATGCTTTTTGATCATTGACAATTAAAAGGTAAAAATTTATAATTTTACTTGTATTTTTAAGTGACAAAGGTGGAGCCATTTTTGTAATTTGCATCTGTTCCTTGGTTCATTTGTTTCCATTTTATTTTTTTAAGGTTTTATTTTAATTCCAGTTAGCACGTTTCCATTTTAATACCTAAGTATCCCATAAAGAAAGTTTCATCAGGTGCCTGGGTGGCTCAGTAGGTTAAGAGTAAGAGTTTGCCTTGCGCTCAGGTCATGATCTCAGGGTCCTGAGATCGACCCCCACCCACATCAGGCTCCCTGCTCCCTATCCCTTTGCCGCTTCCTCCCTGCCCTCTTTCTTCCTGTTAAATAAATAAAATCTTAAAAAAAAAAGTTTTTACATAGTAAGGACATTAGTCCTTTGTCATGTGTTGCGAATATTTTACTAAGTTTGTAACTTGTCTTTCAACTTTGGTATTTTTTGCCCGGCAAAAATTTCACATTTTACATTTTTGTGTAGCCTTTTCTTCTTTTTTTAAATATGTTTTATTTATTTATTCATGAGAGTCAGAGAGAGAGAGAGAGAAGCAGGCTCCCAAGGAGCAGGGAAGCCCGATGCGGGACTCGATCCTAGGACCCCGGGATCACGACCCGAGCTGAAGGAAGACGCTTAACCATCTGAGCCACCCAGGCGCCCCCGTGTAGCCTTTTTTTCCTGTGGCTCCTAACTTCCGACTCTGCCACTTTCTGGGTGTGTCACTTGCTCTCTCTGAGCCACAGTTTCCTGCTCTGCAAATGGGGTCAGGATGTCGGTGTGGGTTCGAGGAGAGAGGATAGGGATCTGAACCCGTCTGGCTAAGCGGCAAAACGCTGAGGAGCGGGGAGCGTCACTCTGGGAAGGTGGTCGGCCGACGCCCCCAACCCCACGGAAGGCTGGCTGGGGGAACTGCGGCCCTGCCTAGCTTCGCGCTCTTCTGGCCCACGTGAGTGGCTCCGCCTCGCCTTGCTTCCGACCAATGCCTCCAAGCCTCCTGGCCAACAGGCGAGCTCCGTCTTGCTCGGAGTCCCGCCCCTTGCCGATTCGAGCAATGGGCGCCCTCCGTTCTGCGCAAGGCCCGCCCCCGCCGCACGCCGGGCCGCGGGCCGCAGGGCTCGTTCCGGGAGGCGGGCGCGGCGGAGGCCGGTGTGGCCGGAGCTCGGGCGGAGGCCGAGCGAGGGCTGCAGGACTGGGGCGGGAAGCGAGCAGGCGGCCGGGGAGGGACGTTCGGGACGTGGGGGCGGCGGGGCCGACGTCTGGGCTGCGGCGGCAGGGACGGAAGGGGCAGCCGCGCGAGCCGGAGGGTGTCCCGTGGCGGCCGAGCGCGGCACCGCCGGCTCCTGAGGGGCGCCTCGGCCCCTCGGGCCCGGGGCTGGTCTGCGGGGCCGCGGGAGCAGGGCGGGCTGCGCGCCGGGTCTGGCCCTGCCCTGCGGCCCGCCCTCGGCATTCCGGGCCTCTGGGCCAAGCGCCCGCCAAAGGCTGTGGGTCCGGTCGCCATGTGTGGACTCTAAAGCGCCTTGTAGTCTTTTGAAGCGCTTTGACATCCCCGAAGGGCTCTGTATCGCAAACTAAATCGAAGCGCTTTGTAATCCCGGAAGCGCTTTGACATCTCCCTAGGAGCGCTGTGCAAACTGAAGCGCTTGGTGATCGCGGGAGCACGTTGTGGGTTTGGAAACCAAACCGACGCCCTTAGTAAATCTCGGATCGTTTTGACTAAGGCGAAGCGCGTTGGCATCTCCGAAACCTTGAGAACTGTGATGGGCAGTGGAAAGAAGGGGGAAAGGTCAGTGAGGCCCCTGACTCTGACCTTCTGGCTTGCCCTCCCCCAGGGGACCCAGGGTGGCGGGAGTCTGAAGAGGGCTGGTGTTGGAATCCAGGCCCCCTCTTTACCTTGCAGGTGCCCATGGCGTCGGAGCGGCGCAAGGTCAAGTACCAGTGGAGCAGCACTTCGGAAGGGTGTCCCCGCAAGCGCAGCTGCCTCCGGGAGCCCAGTGATGTGGCCCCCTCCAGCCGGCCAGCTCCTAGCTCTGCGTCGCGTTCAGGAGGGACCAGCAGCCCCAAGCGTCTGAAAGTCCAGAAGGAGGACGATGTGGCCTGCACGCCGAGGTTGCCCCGGGGCTCATCCTGCCGCAGAAATTCCTCCTCCTCGCATTCTTCCGGCGCAGGTGTGGGCGGGGCTGCCGCCAAAGGCTGCCTGATTCGGAGCACACGGGGATTCCTCTCGTCAGAGGGATCCCCTCTTCGCCCTGTCAACCCCTCTCCAGAAGAAATGGCTTCTCTAGAGGAGGAAGCCTGCAGCCTTAAGGTAGGTGGCTGCGACGCCTTGGAATCGGTGAAGCCCCTTCCACGTGGCTTGAGCTGTTGGTGGAAGGAGACTAAAAAGGGCCGTGTCCTTCAAGATCTTTGGGGTCTTCCCAGAGGTCTGCTTATCACAAACCCGGGGGACCAAGGGGGGTGGCCTACAGTGCCATAGAGAGGTAGTTTTCAAACTTGGCAGCACTTTAACACTACTTGGGAGGTTTGTGCCTGCTTCTCATTCCCATTTAATTGGGCTGGGGTGTGGCCGGCATTTCTAGATTTGTAAATGCTCCTCCAGTAAATTGTAGTGTGCAGCAGCCGGGCTGGAGGATAACTGCAGTAGAAGGTGCATTGCCTGCTCAAGAGACACAGACCTATTTATTTCAGTTGTAAATTTAAGGAATTGTGCCCTTGTACTTTGAACTTCTCTGAGTCACAGAACTGCGAATAAGAATTTGGTTCTTGGTGTAGCTTTTTACTGAAGTTACAGTTTCTAGCACCTTGGGGTTTTGCTTGGTGGGTAGGGTAGAGTTTGTTTTGGAGCTTAAACATTTAGTTCCCCTTTGGGAACATGCAGGAGGGTTTCTCAGAGGAGGTACATTTCCTCCACTGTTTCGTTTTATATGAACTTAAAAAAGGATAAAATTTTCCCGGTGAGGGAAAGTTGAACATGAGTCTGTGAGAAATAGAAGCCAGTGCAATTCATCTCTCATAGTTGGCTGTTTCCCTGGTGAGAGAGTACTAGCTAACGTTGGCGGCCCAAGTGTGAGCTTCGTCCCCTTTTTCAGTCATATTTTGAACAAATACTTATTGAGGGCCTAGATCATCCCAGGAGAGTTCTAGTTGCTTGGGATTCTCCAGTAACAAAGCACATCACTGCCCTCTTCGTTTGTATTCCGGGTTTAGAGCTCTGGGCCTTAAGAGGTGAGGAGTTTTGTATGTGGAAGAGTGGAGGGAAAGTCTTAGTTGGGTGAGATGGGCTGCCTTCAGATAAAGTGATCTTACAAAAGCAGTGAAAAAAGGCACTAAGGAACGTGTCTCTAAACTTCTGCATGGTTAAATTATGTGGAGCTGAGAAACTAGGCTGTCCTTGGCTGTTTATCCTGGGGAACTCTTAGGTGAAGTGCTCCAAGTGTTCTCACCGTGGGCCTCGCAGAACTCTTTATGGCACATGGGTGTTTTTTTTTTCCCCCAAAGATTTTATTTATTTATTTTAGAGAGAGCACGATCGGGATGCGGGGCAGAGGGAGAATCAGACTCCTTGCAGAGCAGGGAGCCCAACGTGGGCCTCAATCCCCGGACCCTGGGATCATGACCTGAGCTGAAGGCAGATACTTAACCGATTGAGCCACCCAGGCGCCCCTTGATTTTTTTTTTAATAGTGATTTCAAAAGCTTTGTCTTTAGCATAAAAATACATACTGAATATGACTCAAAGGTAAATCAAGTAAATATGGGGCTTTGCCCATACAATTTAATCTTGTCATTAGCCCTTCTTGATAGTTTTTCACTTGATTTGGGCACAGCATGAAATAATCTCGATTGATTACGTTTGACTTCAGTGACAATTAGAGATAGAATGAAGCCTTCCAAGAAGGGCAGGAATCTGCCTACTCTTCCAGGTGCACTGCATCCCTGGCTCAGGCTGACCTGCAGACCAGGAGCCAAGATTTGAAGGAATAGCCTTTAATCCAGGTGGGTCTAATTCTGTCATGGGCCCATCTTTATCTTATTTAGGCCTAAGGGGTGTTTTTTTGCCAAAATCAATTTAAATGGTTAAGCATGGAGCAATGAGTAGTCCAGTCCTGTGTCAGAAGTTGTGGGGTTAGTGCCTTGCTTTTAGTCAGTAAGCTCTTGAGGGTTATTGGGTGTCAAGTACTCTGTTGGATTGTGGAGCCATGAGACTGCTTCTAGGAGAACACATCCTGGCGGGCGGGCTTCAGAAGTCACAAGACTGCCTCATGATATGGTGTGTGGAGCATAAGAGCCCAGAATGGAGACTAGAGAGCTAGGTAGGGGGCCGATTGCAACGGGGCTTTAGTAGCCAAGGGAATTTGGATTTTACTCCAAGCCATTAAAGAGTCATGTAGAGTTCTATACACAGGGAAGGCAGATGTGCGTTTTTGAAAGATCACTCATATTGAGTGAGGATAGACTATGGGGATATTGATATTATTAATTCAAATTGTCCCTCTCTAGCACTGCTAAGGGCTCTGCCCTGTAGTGTTTGTTAGTTTGAAGACAAGCTACAGTACTTGACTCATCTTGATGAATTACAAAATGCCTTTCTTATCTTTTTCTCAGTCTGCGCCTCTTCCCTTCATACTCTGCAGTCATGTCCAGCTTGTTTTTCTAGTAAGTCCTGAGTCCTGTCAGCAAGCACAGCCCAGTGGCACTCACAAAAATAGCATGTTCTCCCCCTTGGTCCTTCTAAGGTCCCCTCATTCCTACTTTTACCCACCTATCTACCTGTTCTTCTGCATTTGCTCTGTAAATTTTGAGGGGTAAACGCTTGGCTTTGTGTGTGGGTCCCCCATTATCTGTCTCCTCCCCAGCTTCAGCACAGAGGTCTCAGCCAGGTCACAGAATATTCAGAGGGGAATGTTCTGGCTTTGGTAACAATGCCACAGACTGGGTAGCTTATAAATACTATAAATTTATTTCTTATAGTTTTGGAGGCTGGAAGTCTGAGATCAGGGGGCCAGCATGGTCAAGTGAGGGCCCTTTTCTGGTTTGTAGATTTCTCTTCTGTCCTCACATGGCAGAGGGGGGCAGGGGAGCTCTCTTGGGGACTTTTAGATAAGAGCACTAGTCACATTCATGAGGGCTTCATGTTCATGACCTAATCACTTCCCAAAGGACCTAATACCACCTTCTTGGGGTTAGATTTCAACATACGAGTTTTGGGGGAACCCATTCAGAGGATAGCTAGACTGGGCAATTTAGATTCACTAGAGATTGCTGCTGGCCAGCCTCTTACTGTTTGTTCCTTATTTCCTCTAGGACAATTGTTTGAGCGGTTTTCTCAAATTCTAATGGTAGCTGATGATCTTCGTTTCTTCTGTAGAGAAAGATTAAATTTGTCTGTTGTGAGCACCTTCACCTACCTTATATTATTAGTCTTTAGTATGACCTTCTTCATCCCTACATTCACTGTAGGGAAGAAACACTGGAAGGGAAAATTGGAGCATTTATGATGTGATAGACTTTCATCAAATAGAATTCTCAATGTTTGACCCATAAGCTCTCACATAATCCCGAGAGTCTTATGAAATAGGCAGTGTCAGTTAACAAATATTTACATATCGGTTAACAAATATTTGAATACCTAGTATGTGTAGGCGCTGGGAAAGGAGACTCAGAAATGTTAAGTAACTTGACCAAGGCCATCTAGCTTGTATGTGGCAAAGCTGTGCTATCCCAGATCAGTGGGACTTCAAAGCCTGCATTCTTAGCACTGTGGCCCTCTGAGCCCCTGTTCTGCCCCAGACTAGTGTTAGTGTGAGGGGTGGAGAGACGAAGAGGGCAAGATCCTCCCCCTTGAGGAGCTCTCTGGTGGTACAGGGTGGTACAGGCCCAGGCACAAGAAGCCATTGTGTATCTTGGCTCTCGAATGACAGAGCTTTCCTGTGTGATCCTGGTTCGTGCGTCTTCACCCCGCAGATGTCCGGTGCTTGGGTGGAAGTCCATGCTAGGAGTTAGAGGTGCGAAGAGGAAGGCAGTGGTTGAGGCACTGAAAAGTCCTTCGTCACCGAGCATTGTGTGGAATGCTGTAACAGGGGCATTTGAAGTACCAAGGGTCAGAGGAATGAGTGACTAATGTTGAGAAAGTCCTCACAGAAGAGGTGCTGTTAGAGTTCTGACAGACAGGGAGGAGGAGAGGACATTTCAGGCAGCGGAACAATGTGTGTCCAAAAAGTGTCAGGAAATGCTGCTGGTCTGAAGCACTTGGGAGACGCCTGGTTCCTGAAGGTCCTCACTTCCCTTTTCTCCAGCCGCCCCTCTTCATTCCCGGGCATCTGGGTGTATGGACAAAGGTGGGAGAGGACGCTGGGAAAGAAGCTTGGGGTCCAGCCTGTGAACGGCTTCTGATGTCAGGCTCAGGAGTTGGGGAAGTTTCCTGTGAGCAAATGCAGAAGCACTGAAGGGTTTTAGCAGAGGTGTGGTGTTGGCAGATTCTAGAGCTCCTCTGGCACACTGCGGAGAAAAGATGGGAGGGAGTAGGCAGGGAGCTGGGTACAAACTGTTGAAATCGTGCAGGCTGGCAGCGCCAAGCGCTGCAACAGCATCTCCACTGAGTCTTTGCCTCCTGCCTTCAGAGGCACATAATTCACCAAGCAGCAGTGCCAGGAAAACGAAATCTCTCTTGTTTGAAGCCAGGTGGTTTGTCTCTTCTCTTGAACTTAAGACCTCTTCTTTACCTGTATAGCCTCCTCTCTACTTCTGAAGATCTTGGGTGACCTGGATCCATTTCAGGTCCTCATGGTCTTTGACATCACAGTCTTTGCTACTGTTGCTCAATTTTCGTATTTTCGCTATTCTCCCTTGGTTTCCAGGATATTAGGGGGAGCTTGAGTTTGCCTCCTGGTTCTGCCACTTACACGCCATGTGGCAGTTCCCCTCTCTCTACAAGAGGGATGACAGCCATGGCAGCTCTGGGAATTATAAGGCCACATGAAAACATAAGGTATGGGAGCGCCTGGGTGGCTCAGTTGGTTAAGCATCTGCCTTCAGCTCAGGTCATGATCCCAGCGTCCTGAGATGGAGCCCCATGTCTGGGTCCCTGCTCAGCGGGGAGTCTGCTTTTCCCTCCCTCCCTCCTTCCTTCCCTCCCTCCCTCCGTCTCTCTCTCTCTCTCTCTCAAATAAGTAAAATCTTTAAAAAAAAAAAAATGTAAGGTATGTTATTCTAATTCTAGCCCTTTTTTCTTCGACAGGTACAGTCCTGGTCTTCACTACCAGGGTTGGCAAACCCGTGGTCCATAGGCTGAATGTGGCCCCCTAGGTCCTCAAAGTATTCAGTATTTTGCAGATTTCACATTAAAAATATATGCCTCCGGTCCACACCTCTACCTTGAACTGGAGACTTGAGTGACCCTCTTCTGCTTCCCCACTTTCTACTCCCTTTTCCTATGTTCTTTTTCTCTCTGGCACTTTTCACTCTCCGACATATGTTGCCTTTCTTCTGGTTTTCCTTTCCCTCACTACCTAGAATAGAAGGTCCAGGAAGCAGGTATTTTTGTATGTTTCTTTGGATGCTAACCCCGCAGATTCAGAACAGTGCCTGCTGGCGTATAGTAAGTGCTCCCCAAAACATTGCTGGCTGAATGGAAAAATGAATTCAATTTGGCATTTCTTGTTTTATCTGAAAAACTGGAATCCATAACTCTGGGTCTGTACTTGCAAGCGGCAGCAGTTGGTTTGAAGTGAGGAGCTGTGACCCTGCAGAAGGTGCAGGGGCTCCTCCGTTTGTTGTCGACCTTGTCTTCCCGTGTTCTCTCCCCGGCCTGGGGCGGGGCGGGGGGAGGGCAAGGAGAGGGGTAGCTCGTCCCACAGGCAGAGGTGGAGAAGTCAGAGGGGCTTGGGGTCTTAAAGGATGAATAGGAGTTTATCAAGTGTGAAATGAGACTGAGGCGAGGGTGTCACAAGCAAAGGCAATTAGGTTTGCCTGGGACGGTACAGTGGGGATGCCTGCGGGTGGCGGCTGCTTGGCAGTAGCGAGGGAGGCAGGCCGAGACGTTGTGGCTGTGTCCCGTAGGGCGTGCCCAGGGAGCCTTCAGGTTTTTGTTTTTGTTTTTTTTTAAAGATTTTATTTATTTTTTGACAGCGAGAGAGGGAACACAAGCAGGGGGCGTGGGAGAGGGAGAAGCAGGCTTCCCGCAGAGCAGGGAGCCCGATGCGGGGCTCGATCCCAGGACCCCGGGATCATGACCTGAGCCGAAGGCAGACGCTCAACGACTGAGCCCCCCAGGCGCCCCTTCAAGTTTGTTTTTAATGTTTATTAGATTTTCTTCATAGGGAAAGGTATCTAAAAAAGAGGCTTATCATCTCCCGGATAATCCCTGTAGACATTTTTTAAAAAAGTCCACCATGTTAGAAAATTGAGAGAGGTTCAAAATGTAAGGTAAAAGCCACCTTTCCTGTCCATCTCATCAAAATTAGTAGCTGCCAACAATTTGAGTACTTCTGGTAAAAAATACCATGCCATACTACTGTCTAGATTTACATATTTCAAAAGGCTTTTTTAAAAACAAAGATAGTATGTACTTCTTGGAAAAAATTCAAATTATATGAGAAGTCTATAAAATAAGAGCATAAGCCGCTTTGTGTAACCACTCCCTTATTGATGGACATCTCTTGGAGTAGACTACTTTTCCTCGGTAGAGAAAAAAGATCAGCAAGCTTAGTGTGGAGTTCTTTCTCTGTATATAATACAAATGAATTTGAAGTGCAAGTTGTAGGGACTGTAGAAGGCCTTGGGATAATGGTCAATCTGGGTCATAGCTGGGGAGGTTTGGACTTCACTGCTTTCGAGATGATTCTAGGGATAGATTTGTGGAGCATTCTTACCCCAGGCTGGGATTGGATTGGATCTGAGTTTCACAGTAAATTAACATTGAAAACAAATAGTCTAGCTCCTGGAATGAGTAAGTGCTCAGGGGAAGGCGGGATGGGGCTGAGACTTAACCAGTGTTTATGAGGAGATGATTAGGAGTCGGGGGGTAGTTACAGTCTCTGGACTGACCCTCGTGCATTCTCTGGGAGACCAGACACCTTCCGGCACCGAGGTTTCGATCTGGGGGAAGGAGTTGGCAGAGGACTTCAATAAGGCCTGCACTCTGCTCTCAGGACTTGGGAGATTGGAGTCTACTCCTCCCTGGCCCTTGGGTCTTCTGGACTCTTAGATGTGGGATTGTGTTAGCTGGTTTCTAGAGACCCTTTTAGTGCTGAAGTTTTGAGCTGCTCTTTTGCCTGTGTGTGTTCTCAAGTGTGTGGTAGTCCTTGGCCTCAGGGAGCTTACAGTTTAGTGTTACTAGACTGTTCATTTCTCCGTTCATTCCTGCCTGCTGCAGTGTTGAGGGTATTACCTGATGAGCATGAGAAAGTGAATAATAAAATGGCACCATTTCAGGCCCTTTTACAGTGGCACTTCTCAGTGGGGTGGGATGGAATCCTCTGGGAGAGAATCTTCGTCTTAGCCACCGTCACCTTCCCTGTGATTGGTGCAGCCGCCACTGATTTATAATTTGCTGAGTGCTTCCTATACGTACTCGCCGTTTGGATAACCCTTTCCCGAACTGAGATTTTTTTTTTTCCTCCCCGCTTCCAGGTTGATTCAAAAGATAGTTCTCGTAACTCCACAAACTCTGAATTTGCAGCTGAAGCGGAGGGTCAAAATGATACAAATGAGGAACCAAACAAGGTGCAAAAAAGGAAGAGGGATCGATTTCGAGACCAGGGCTCTACGGTGATCTACCTGAAGGCTATCCAGGGCATCCTGGGAAAGTCGATGCCAAAAAGGAAGGGAGAGGCTGCCACGAGGGCAACACCGAACAAAGGAGAGCGTCCCAGCTGTGGAGAAGGGCCAGCCAGGAGTGTCACTGTGTCTCCTCAGAAAGGGAAAGAGTCAGCCCCGGAGGTGAAAGCAGAGGACGAAAAGGCTGTGCCAGAGAGGAGCAGTTTCTGCAACAGGAGAGTGGTGATAGACCTTCAGGAGAAACCCAGCGAGGAGACAGCTGGTGACCGAAGGACAGTCATTGACAAGCGTTCTCCAGCCCTCGAGTTTTTGGATGACTCCGACTCTCATTTAGAAAGCCAGAAGGTGAGTAGAGCTTATACCAAGCATGGAGTTTTTAGTTCTCTTGATGATAAGTATTTGGTCTTTCTAGTTTGATCCTGAGTGTTACTCATTAAAAGCAGCACGTTACTTACCAAGGACTCCAGGACCAACTGATGGTTCTTTTCTAAAATACCGTTCAGAGTTAACTAAGAAATCTCAATTCAGTGCTATCTCTCTTTCTCTCTGTTTTTTAAATTTAGAATTTATATGTTGCTTAGGATATGCATTTGCCTGCCCTAACAAAGGCCAAAGGCTTAAAGAAAATGGAAGTTTGGCTTGAGGAGGACGGCTGCACGGTGTCAGGGACCCTGGTGCCATCTGTCTTCTTGATGCTCTTCTGCATCAGCCTAATCTCCGTCTGTGGTCTGAGTGGCTGCTCCGATAGGACCCTGAGGATGTTACCTTGACATTCCAGGCAGTAGAAGGAGGAAAAGAGAAGAGGAAAGTACACTTCCTCCCTTTTAAGAGCTTGACTCAGAAGTCCACATCATTTTTGCTTTTAGCTATTGACAATCTAGAAACCTGGCCAACACCTAGCTGCAAGGGAGTCTAGAACATTAACTTTCATCTGGGAGACTTATACCCAAATCACTCTTACTGCTCTTGAAGGAAAGAATGGTATTGGAGGGAAAATAGCAATTTTTAACATAGTTTATAACTGGGGGGGAAGGCATTCCTCTGTTGTAGCCATCTCTGCTTGTATTTACTTAACGGCTCTTAGTGGCAGCTCCTTGAATCTCTTCAGCTCTTTCTTCTAGTACTTACCTCCATATTTCTAAGTAATCTTGCACTGTGTATTGATTTTCCAGTCGTAGACCTCTGTGGACTGCCTACTTAGAAGGTGGGAATTCAGTTCTCCACACTAACTTTGGCAGCACCATACCCACAAGCCTGGGACTTCTCCTTTTAGCAGCTCCCTGTGTTGTTGTCATACAGTTTTTGGCTACCAATGGTACGGTAGGTGAGCACTGAGTGTTGGGATCAGACAGTTTGGGTTCCCATCCTGGCCACCTGAACTGTGATCATGAGAAAGCCACTTAACCTCTTTGAGCCCCAGTTTCTTCTGTGTAAAAAGTCACAGTTCTTGAAATCTTACTATGGTTAAACAAATAGAGGGATCAGCACACTTATTCTGTAAAGGGCCAGATAATATTATAGGCTTTGTGGCCTCTGTTGTTAACTATTCAGCTGGGCTGTAGTGGCATGAAAACAGAGACTTAAGTGAACGGGCCTGACCGGGTTCCAGTGAGATTTTGTTTACACCAGTAGACAGTGTGTTGGATTTGGCTTGTGGGCCTCAGTTTGCTGAACCCTGAACGATACATGAAAACACTTGGCTCGGTGCCTAAGTGTATAGTAGGACTTCAGTAAATGTAAGTTTAAAATTTACCATATTGGTGAGAATGTAAGGCAATCATGAACATAGGTAATGTCCCATTTTCTCAAAAAGAAAATCCAAGGGCTGCCTGGGTGGCTCAGTTAAGCGTCTGCCTTCGGCTTGGGTCATGATCCCTCTGCCTGCCATTTCCCCTGCTTGTGCACTCACATACACTCTCTCTGACAAATAAATAAAATATTAAAAAAAAAAAAAGAAAAGAATAAAGAAAATCCAAAAACCTTTTCTTGGCCATCTTGACCATATAAGCCTTTCAAGGACTTAGATGACATAATTGTAAGTCTGTTTATGGTATGTATTTCTAGTTACACGTGCATTTTTGGATTCATAATTTCCCCACTCCACCATTTTTCCCACTCTCACATTTCATTAAATAATTTTACTGAAACTTCACATGTCTTTGACATGGTCTTTGTTGTCCCTGGGGTTCCCTTTTGAGTCATGTAGCATGATTTCCTGAACTTCCCTGATAATAAGAATGAGAGAATCTGACTCAGTTCTGAGGTGGGACGTGGGAATCTGTGTTTTTACACAAGTACCCTTGGAAGACAGAGAAATTTGGGAAGCAACCAGAGGACGTCATCTGCCCTTTCTTCTGATTTGGAATTTTTAACTTTTTATTATAGAAAATTTAAAACACTTAGGAAAATTATCCATACACCTGTCAACTCATCTTCAACAATGAATTCACTGCTAATCTTGTCTTTTTTTCTCTCCACAAATTTTTTTTGTTGTTGTTAATAAAGTAAGCTCCATACCCGACATGGGGCTTGAACTCACCACCCTGAGATGATGAGTCACATGTTCTGTGGACTGAGCCAGCCAGGTTCCCCTCTCCACAATTTATTTGGAAGCAAATCCCAATTACTGTATCATTTCATCCATAAATATTTCATTGTGAATCTTCTAAGAGGTACAGTGATCTTTAGAAAAAAACAAGCATAATTACAATTTTGTTACCAATATTTGTTTCCTTTTGGAGTATAGGTAGCTGTATGGAAGGTTAGTATAGACAGTAGAAACAAAAAATGTTAGACTACACACACCCCCCATGCCCC